GCGGCCAGGCCAAAGGTGTGGAACTCAACGCGAGTCAGCCCCTTTGCGCCCCAAACTTTCTTCAGACTGTCCACGAAGGGGCCCACTGGCTCAAAAATATGGATGGTGCAGGGGTAAAGCTTATGAAGCAGCTGTCCATCGCCGCCATGCGTGTGCGCACCTATGTACCAAATTGAACACGGTCCTGACAGCGGAAGACGCGGCCAGCCTCCTATGCGATTCGCTTGCTTCGGCGAGTGGGCTTGGCAATCCTTCATTTTTTCTCTGTCCTCGCCAGGTGCCCGGGCCTGCTTAGCTAGCCGCTCGGGAGCTATTGTCCCAGGAAATGGGGTCTGATGTCCGACGCCATGCGTGCTTCTGATGGCCGAATTCCAGGAACACAATGGCGTAACTCGAGAGATTCGCGAAAGCCGATGCCAATAAGCGCATAGAATGAAAACAATAGAGAGCGCGAGCAAGTCGCGGGTCGGCCTGCCGCCGATTTCCATTTTGGTTTTGGCGTTTTTTAGTAGTAGAAGTGACCACGCCAGCTGGTAGTTTTATCTTGTGTCGTGTTTTGTTCTAAGCCCTCTCCGGATAGTACTGGAATTGGTTCCACGCCGACCAAGCCGCCGAGCACTCCGCGGCGACGCGTGTTCGCTATCAACTGCAAATATGTCTGGGTCTGGAAGAAAGCAAACTTGTGATGCGCATTTCAGAACACAGAAAAATCTCTCATGCATAGGTAGCAAAAGCTGCCCACTTTCATTCTGCCACCAAGATGAGGGATTTGCCCTGCGGATTCGGCATTGCGGAAGCTTCTCGAAACCAATGATGCTAGAGCTTCCATGCCAGACCTCCTGTGTCATGCAAAAACAGCATGACTCTTCCAGACCCAGACATTTTTACATTTGATATTCGCTGAAGGGTGCCGAAACGCCCACGTGGTCGCTCCGCGTCCCAAAGCATTCGTTGCTATCAAATGCAAAAATGTTTGGGTCTGGATGATTCCGGGATTCGTCATGCTAGTCCGGCATGACTCAGAGGTCTGTATTGCGTGGCCGCAAAGGGCTTCTCTTGCCTGTCATGCAAAAACGCAGTTTCTCATGCGGAGTAAGCAAGTCTGAACCACGGAAAAACTTGTCATGCTTGGCAGTGCATTACAGTATGCGCATTTTTCCCTGACTTGCATCACAAGTTTCCAGACCCAGACATTTTTGCATTTGATAGCTGCGTTTGTGGTACTATCTAAGTATAGTATCCTGAGGAAAAACGCACCCACCGGATAGAGCGTGACAAGTTGCAAATCTTCAACCAATATATACAAAATGCTCCTCGAGGACGTCATAGAGCTGCGCATGACAGACATCTTCGTAGGCATGATGCATAGCATTGTGATTTGCAGGACATACTATATAGGGTGGGTATGTTCTTCCACATGATACTTCAAGAAATTGCTTTCATAATTTTATTCCCAAAAATAAAGGCCTACAAAAAAAAAAATCTCGGGTGACAAACCTTTTCTGAGTGCAGGGAAGGAGCCAACAACTAATAAAAAGAAGCAGAAGCCGCGAACAGATTGGGTATATAATACGCAGCTCCTCGAGCTTCGCGATAAAAAGAGGTCTGCGATGGGTGTCGCGTTTTTTTGTTGTAATGTAAAAATTGCAGAACAAGTGGTGGCCCTCTCGAATTATTATATCGAGCGAAGGCCGCAAGAACAGAGCAGCAATTCATTTTTCCAGCTGTACTGTGATTTCCCCAGCCCGCGTTGGCATTTTTTCCAGCTTTGTTTTTATATCAATCTAGCAACGCATAGTTTTTTCCTTCGAAGAAGGGATTTATTTATTTCCTCTGAGCAGGGAACTCTGCAGCAGCGGCCGCTCATTTTGGAGGTCCTGCTCTTTTTCTGTTGGATAGATCGGAATCATAAATGACCTAGTGACGATCAGAAGCATACTACGATGTAAATCGCGATGCAAATCTGGTCTGATGTCAAATCCCTCGGGCTTGTAGTGCCCTCGATCTGAAATCCATGATCCTCCTCCGATAGCCGTAGCCATCCTGTTTGTCATGCATATTGTCCATCCTCTTGATATCTCATCACACCCCTGCAGGTTGCGACTAGTACCCATACTAGTGCGTCGATAACAGATAGTAAACACACAGTGACTCGTAGTCACTTAGTACTGCTAGCGCTTGTTCCCATCTCGTTTACCTCTGTTGTTGCTATCGTGCGTCTAGGCTTCTAACAATCTAGTCGCACCTTTATTCAGCCAAAATTTTAGTAGTTTTCTTGATGTTTAGAAAACTTGCAACTACAATTTTTACTGATTTTCTTGTGTAGAAAATTTGAAAAACAGCCACTACATCTTGTAAGATTTACTTGTAAAATTGCAGAATTAGCATTACAAATTTGAACGCATTTGTTGAAAACGCACCCCCACAACTTCAAGAAGTCTATCTGCAAAATTTAGAAAAGAAATTAAATGTCATGCAGACATTTTGGTGCTAGTTGCGTAGCTAGAGAACTTGGAAAGCATAGAGATTTGTGCATTTTAGGCGCGAAGTGTTACGGCTCCAAAGGTTGGAACGTTGAAGACCTTAGCGACCCACAATTTGCAAACTATTTCCACAATCTCGATTGGGATACAAATTGGGAATTTGTATTTAAGCGCGATTATTGTTTTCTTTTGAACACAATGGTCGACACTAACCAGGTGGAAAAGTACTCTATTCCGCCCTACGACGGGAATCCGAAGGGATGGTCGGACTGGCGGTTTAAGGTGCAAGCCTTGTTGCAGATGTTGGGTATCTTGACTTTGATCGAAAACTTCTTGAAAACGCCTTCTATTGACGGATGGAAGGATGACACGAGGGCCATCGGTGCGCAGTTCTTCGCTCGCTTGTGCGTGGCGTTGACTGGGGACGCGCTGGAGGTCGTGAAGAAAAAGACAGTCGTTTGCATTAGTACGGCTTGGGGTGCGTTGTTGTTGGAATTCGATAAGCGGACCAAATTCGCCCGAATGCGGTCGCTTAAGGATTTACTAACCACCCGGAAGGACAAAGACCAAACGGTAAGGGAGTTCGTTCAGCGGAAACAAAACATCTTTCGAGATGACCTGGGCGGTGAAGTCTTCCGCAGCGAGTTGATGACTTTCGGATGCTTCTACAACCTCGGGAACGCCTTCGATTCTTTTATCATGCCGCACGTCATTCAGGACAAGCCGGACAATGATAATTTGTTGAAGTTGGCGGAGGAGTGCGAATCCGTCTTGAAAGACGGGGGCACCGAAGAGGACACCGCAAAGCCCGCTTCTCTCAACTTGACGCAGGCCGATCACAAAGCGATCGCTGCTGAAGTTGTTGCGCAGAAGGGGAAGAAGGGTGGACGCTGGGTCAACAAGAACCAGCACCCGTACAAGAACAACAACCAGAAGAACAACAAGGGCGGCGGAAAAGGAGGCAAGGGAGACCAGCAGAAGGGAAAAGGCGGCGGTGGAGACAAATCCAAGATCAAATGTCACAAGTGCAAGCAGCTTGGACATGTTCGTAAGGATTGTCCCAACTGACGAAGCTGGCCGGGTTCCGATGAGAATTGTCAAATTTCTCATGCTGCTAAACGTCGAAAAACCGATGTTGCTAATGTTCATGTTTGTGAAACAGGCTCTACTTCTGGTCAAAGTAGTAATGTTACATGCAATCAAAAACTACAATCTCCCTCTGTGTACAATGTCGAAGTACTTGAAAGCAAAACAAATGTATTTGAGACAGCACCTATATCCAATCAGTGTGTACTTGAGACTGCCTCTATTTCCGATGAAAAAGCATCTATTTGTAAGATTGAAGATTTGCCGTTCGCTCGTGATTCAAAATTAAAAGGTACTACATGTAAGATTGAAGCTGAAAAATCTCTACTTGATTCCGCTCGTGTTAAGAATGTGAAAGTACCTAAAATGAAAGAAAATCCATTACAAAAAATGCCTATTCTGCATGGGGTTTCGCGCTTGTATGATCCTAGCAATTTAAAAAGAAAAGCGAACCCGCATGAGATGGCAAAGAACAAAAATTACGAGGTGGCAGATTCCGCCCGTAAAGCAGAAGGAAACTGCATGGATTGGACTTATTTTAACTTGTGCAAGTTTGTAGGGGAATCATGCAACGGGGTGAAAGATCAGCAAATTTTTGATTTTGCCGATACTCCTAAGGGCTTCACTGTCTTGGTGCATGGTCACCACCAGGGCAGGGACAAGAAAAACGAAAACCAGGAGGCACAAGACTGGTTTGGTGATTGGTCAAAAGAGCGGGAAAAGGGTCAAACAGATCAAAACGGCGAAAAGTCCGCCGGCGCTGTTTCGTCTTTGACATTTGCACTTTTGTCGAAGGGAAACGGGAAAAGCGCCCATGGGATTACCATCCGCCCGGATGGTACTCAAACAACGGCAGTTGTTGATAGTGGTGCCTCGCACCACATGACAGGGGACTTGAGTTGTTTTCAGATTGTGTTTTGGGATGATCCAGTAACGTTAACGGTTGCCGACCGAACGTTAGACACTCCCGCCTACCGTGGTTACTTCCACCATAACTCTTTAGGTTTAATGGGTGGTCTATACCATCCTGACGCAAAGTTGTTTTTGGTGTCGGTAAGTCTTTTGAACGACGAAAATGACTGCCGGGTAGTTTTTGAGGGGAGAGACGCGCTCTACCTCCAAAAGAAGAAAACAGGTTTCAAAATTCCGATGCGCCGGGACACTTTAACAAATTTGCCGCAAATAGACTTTGCGTTTCACAGCTTGAGCGAGCTGGATACGGCTGGCGATTTACAAAACGGAAAGAGCCGGGCCGCGTGGTCCGAGCCAGCATTTGTGAATCTGACTCGTGCCGATCGTCTTCGACAACATGAAAGGTTTGGGCACTTTCATATTGACGGTCTTGAATATGGACGCTGTCCGTTGTGTGACTTAGCGAAGTCGAGGCAAGAAGGGTGTAAGTCAGAACGTCCGGAGCACTGTAAGCCAAAGGCTTGGCTAGATCAAGTGGATTGGGATCATACCTACGGTTATCCTTTGGGTCTTGATGGGGAGAAATTTCTTTTGTCAGGGGTGGAGACATTCCATGGCTGGGTAGAGAATTATCCTCACCGGGAAAAGGATGAAGCGTGGAAAGGTCTGCGTGAGTGGTGTTTAGAAGTTGGAAAGCCCAAACGGGTGAGAAGCGATAACGATCCTACTTTTCGAGGCGAGAAAAGTGACTGGAGAAAGTATTGCTTGAAGCAGAGTCCTCCGATCGAGCCAACTACGTCTGCGCCGTTTACGCCGCAACGTAATGGAGTCGTGGAACGGTGGAACCAAACTTCGAAAAATGCCCTGCGGGCGAATATGATCGGGGTTGATCCTCGTCTTTGGCCATATTGTTCAAAGTATATAGCCTGGACTTGGAATCGGTTAGCCCGGAAAGAGCAAAAGAGTCCATTTGAAAAAGTTCACGATCGCGCGCCTTCGCTCAAGTATTTCAAGAAATTCGGAGTCCTTTGCTATGCTCGGAAGCACGTTACGAAATCGACGGACTTAGGTGCGCTCGATGTTCGGTATGAACGTGGGGCATTCTTGGGGTATTCGAAAAACTCTTGCTATTTAGTGGGTGTTTGGCGTGACGACAAACGAACGAAAGTTGGATTAAGGTTCACTGTGATCGAAAATAGATCCTGCAAGTTTGACGAATCTTGTACGATCGCCGACATTGACGATCTTCGCGAAAAGAACCGTGGCACCTTTGTACCCTTTGCCGCACCCGACAAATTGCGTGTGTCGAACATGCCTGATCCGTTGGTGGCTCCCTCGGGAAGTCATGAGCCCGATCAGGATGCTCCGCGTGACCAGGGTGATTCGGGGCCCAATGGGGCTACTGGAGACCAACAGGTCGAGGAAGGGGGCAAAGCAGTGGAAGGGGGCAAAGAGGAAAGTGCTGCGCAAGCAGAGGAAGAGGTAGTTATTCCCGAAGCGGAAGAACTTGACGAACCTCCCGCCCGCCCAAAGCCCAAGGTCGTCAAGAAGAAAAGAAAGCAAAAGCCGAAGCCTGCAGTCGTGGTCAACAACAAAAAGGGTCGCCCGAAAGGTTCAAAGAACAAACCGGGAAGCAAAAAGCCAGGTCCTAAGCCAAAAGCAGCAGAAGCTGGAAACGTATTTCAGTTGCCTGATGATTTTGACTTTGGTCGAGACTTGGACGAGTACCATGCCAAGCGCATTGAGGAAGAAGGTGAAGAAGTTTTTGCTCATGTGGTGTCACTCACCAGAGCGCAGATTCTTCGAGATCCTGATGCTCCGAAGTACATAGAGGCCGACGATGTTGAACGACTCAGACTTTTAGCAAAAGAGTGCTGGACAGTAGACGAGAAACCACAAAAAGGCGACGAAGTTGTGCCGTCGTGCGTGATCTACACGAAGAAGAGATGTGGAACATACAAAGCGCGGCTGGTGGCACTAGGAAACTTACAGTCGAAAGAACTCTGTGGCGAAATTTACAGTCCTACCATTTCGCACGCAGCTAGTAGAGCCCTACTTGTTGACGCTGCTGCAAATGGGAAACGGATCAAATTTTTCGACATTTCAAATGCGTTCATTTGTGCGAGTTTAGGTGACGAGCGAGTTTTCGTGCGTCTTCCGAAGCACTGGAGCACTGATCCGAGAGGTGATGTCGTGCGCCTACTGAAGTCTCTTTATGGTCTTCGAATTAGCCCGCGTCGTTGGTTCGATACCTACAGGAAGACTTTGGAGGAACTAGGTTGGAAGATGTGTGAACGGGAGCCGGGGTTGTTCCGTAAAGGCGTTCTTACGTTGAGCGTGTACGTGGATGACTGTGTCATGAGTGGTGACACGGAAGAAATTCTCGACAAAGAGATGGGGAAAATTTTGGACAAATTTCCTGGAAAAGTGATCCCGCCGAAAGCGAAACCAGGTGAAAAGGGTTGCGAAGTTTACGACCTCCTGGGGGCCACTCTGGAATACAACGCATCGAAAAAGACCATGAGGATCCACATGGCAGAGGCTATTGACAGAGTTTTGAAGAAATTCAATATGGTTGATTGTCGGGGAGTTGCTACGCCTGTACTTCCTGGAAGACAGTTGCCAGAAATTCAGACTACTGAAGTTGATACTTCTGCACCGGAAACAAAATTCCCATTGCGTAGCCTCGTGGGTAGCCTGCAATATATCGCTTGTATGTGCAGGGTAGACATTGTCTACGCGGTGCAGCGTGTTGCAAGAGAAGTAGCAAATCCGACACCCCAAGCGGTGAAAGCAGCAAAACGGATTTTGGCCTACTTGAAAGCAACTCGGGAGATCGGTTCAGAATACTCGCCAAAAGCTGAAGAAGATTTTCGCACGGTTTACACCAAAGTGACAAAGGAGGCCAGTCGGGATTGTCCTGATTTGTGTGCTTTCAGCGATAGCGACTTTGCAGGGTGTACAGTTACACTGAAGTCCACCAGCGGTAGTATCCTGTATTATCGTGGTTGTCCAGTCGCTTGGTCGTCAAAACGACAGACAGTCCGTGCTTCCAGCACGTGTGAGGCTGAGTATGTTGCGATTCATGACACGATCAAAATGTGCTTGAGCCAGGGCTGGTCAGATTGGTTTATGGAAACTGAAGGGGAAACGCTTCCGCTCATTTTCACAGACAATCAAAGTGCGTTAAGTCTCAGCAAGAGTAGTATCATCACTAAGCGTTCCAAACATATTGACTTGCGTTATCACATTGTCCGTGATCATTGTCAGGATTTGTGTTTTGTGCCGACAAAAGTAAACAAGGCCGACCCCCTGACCAAGGGCCTGCCTGGTGAAAAATATTTGTCTTTGTTCAAGACGGACCCAAAAGCAGAACTTCACACAGTGCGCGCGTTTCATGTGTCGACTGACCTTCGGCCCATTGTACTAGAGCCCGCCACTGTTATGATGTTGACTGCGAAGCTAAGTAAAGCATCTGGATTGACCATCCAGATCGAAGGAAAGCCCTACGACTTTGCCTAGTCGTTTGTGCCAAAAAGGAAGGAGGAATGAGGTATATGCTACAGGTGAACAGTGGTTACTATAGCTTCGGAAGGGGGAATGTTGGATAGATCGGAATCATAAATGACCTAGTGACGATCAGAAGCATACTACGATGTAAATCGCGATGCAAATCTGGTCTGATGTCAAATCCCTCGGGCTTGTAGTGCCCTCGATCTGAAATCCATGATCCTCCTCCGATAGCCGTAGCCATCCTGTTTGTCATGCATATTGTCCATCCTCTTGATATCTCATCACACCCCTGCAGGTTGCGACTAGTACCCATACTAGTGCGTCGATAACAGATAGTAAACACACAGTGACTCGTAGTCACTTAGTACTGCTAGTGCTTGTTCCCATCTCGTTTACCTCTGTTGTTACTATCGTGCGTCTAGGCTTCTAACAATCTAGTCGCACCTTTATTCAGCCAAAATTTTAGTAGTTTTCTTGATGTTTAGAAAACTTGCAACTACAATTTTTACTGATTTTTCTTGTGTAGAAAATTTGAAAAACAGCCACTACATCTTGTAAGATTTACTTGTAAAATTGCAGAATTAGCATTACAAATTTGAACGTATTTGTTGAAAACGCACCCCCACAACTTCAAGAAGTCTATCTGCAAAATTTAGAAAAGAAATTAAATGTCATGCAGACATTTTGGTGCTAGTTGCGTAGCTAGAGAACTTGGAAAACATAGAGATTTGTGCATTTTAGGCGCGAAGTGTTACGGCTCCAAAGGTTGGAACGTTGAAGACCTTAGCGACCCACAATTTGCAAACTATTTCCACAATCTCGATTGGGATACAAATTGGGAATTTGTATTTAAGCGCGATTATTGTTTTCTTTTGAACACAATGGTCGACACTAACCAGGTGGAAAAGTACTCTATTCCGCCCTACGACGGGAATCCGAAGGGATGGTCGGACTGGCGGTTTAAGGTGCAAGCCTTGTTGCAGATGTTGGGTATCTTGACTTTGATCGAAAACTTCTTGAAAACGCCTTCTATTGACGGATGGAAGGATGACACGAGGGCCATCGGTGCGCAGTTCTTCGCTCGCTTGTGCGTGGCGTTGACTGGGGACGCGCTGGAGGTCGTGAAGAAAAAGACAGTCGTTTGCATTAGTACGGCTTGGGGTGCGTTGTTGTTGGAATTCGATAAGCGGACCAAATTCGCCCGAATGCGGTCGCTTAAGGATTTACTAACCACCCGGAAGGACAAAGACCAAACGGTAAGGGAGTTCGTTCAGCGGAAACAAAACATCTTTCGAGATGATCTGGGCGGTGAAGTCTTCCGCAGCGAGTTGATGACTTTCGGATGCTTCTACAACCTCGGGAACGCCTTCGATTCTTTTATCATGCCGCACGTCATTCAGGACAAGCCGGACAATGATAATTTGTTGAAGTTGGCGGAGGAGTTCGAATCCGTCTTGAAAGACGGGGGCACCGAAGAGGACACCGCAAAGCCCGCTTCTCTCAACTTGACGCAGGCCGATCACAAAGCGATCGCTGCTGAAGTTGTTGCGCAGAAGGGGAAGAAGGGTGGACGCTGGGTCAACAAGAACCAGCACCCGTACAAGAACAACAACCAGAAGAACAACAAGGGCGGCGGAAAAGGAGGCAAGGGAGACCAGCAGAAGGGAAAAGGCGGCGGTGGAGACAAATCCAAGATCAAATGTCACAAGTGCAAGCAGCTTGGACATGTTCGTAAGGATTGTCCCAACTGACGAAGCTGGCCGGGTTCCGATGAGAATTGTCAAATTTCTCATGCTGCTAAACGTCGAAAAACCGATGTTGCTAATGTTCATGTTTGTGAAACAGGCTCTACTTCTGGTCAAAGTAGTAATGTTACATGCAATCAAAAACTACAATCTCCCTCTGTGTACAATGTCGAAGTACTTGAAAGCAAAACAAATGTATTTGATACAGCACCTATATCCAATCAGTGTGTACTTGATACTGCCTCTATTTCCGATGAAAAAGCATCTATTTGTAAGATTGAAGATTTGCCGTTCGCTCGTGATTCAAAATTAAAAGGTACTACATGTAAGATTGAAGCTGAAAAATCTCTACTTGATTCCGCTCGTGTTAAGAATGTGAAAGTACCTAAAATGAAAGAAAATCCATTACAAAAAATGCCTATTCTGCATGGGGTTTCGCGCTTGTATGATCCTAGCAATTTAAAAAGAAAAGCGAACCCGCATGAGATGGCAAAGAACAAAAATTACGAGGTGGCAGATTCCGCCCGTAAAGCAGAAGGAAACTGCGTGGATTGGACTTATTTTAACTTGTGCAAGTTTGTAGGGGAATCATGCAACGGGGTGAAAGATCAGCAAATTTTTGATTTTGCCGATACTCCTAAGGGCTTCACTGTCTTGGTGCATGGTCACCACCAGGGCAGGGACAAGAAAAACGAAAACCAGGAGGCACAAGACTGGTTTGGTGATTGGTCAAAAGAGCGGGAAAAGGGTCAAACAGATCAAAACGGCGAAAAGTCCGCCGGCGCTGTTTCATCTTTGACATTTGCACTTTTGTCGAAGGGAAACGGGAAAAGCGCCCACGGGATTACTATCCGCCCGGATGGTACTCAAACAACGGCAGTTGTTGATAGTGGTGCTTCGCACCACATGACAGGGGACTTGAGCTGTTTTCAGATCGTGTTTTGGGATGATCCAGTAACGTTAACGGTTGCCGACCGAACGTTAGACACTCCCGCCTACCGTGGTTACTTCCACCATAACTCTTTAGGTTTAATGGGTGGCCTATACCATCCTGTCGTAAAGTTGTTTTTGGTGTCGGTAAGTCTTTTGAACGACGAAAATGACTGCCGGGTAGTTTTTGAGGGGAGAGACGCGCTCTACCTCCAGAAGAAGAAAACAGGTTTCAAAATTCCGATGCGCCGGGACACTTTAACAAATTTGCCGCAAATAGATTTTGCGTTCCACAGCTTGAGTGAGCTGGATACGGCTGGAGATTTGCAAAACGGAAAGAGCCGGGCCGCGTGGTCCGAGCCAGCATTTGTGAATCTGACTCGCGCCGAGCGACTTCGACAACATGAAAGGTTTGGGCACTTTCATATTGATGGTCTTGAGTATGGACGTTGTCCGTTGTGTGACTTAGCGAAGTCGAGGCAAGAAGGGTGTAAGTCAGAACGTCCGGAGCACTGTAAGCCAAAGGCTTGGCTAGATCAAGTGGATTGGGATCATACCTACGGTTATCCTTTGGGTCTTGATGGGGAGAAATTTCTTTTGTCAGGGGTGGAGACATTCCATGGCTGGGTAGAGAATTATCCTCACCGGGAAAAGGATGAAGCGTGGAAAGGTCTGCGTGAGTGGTGTTTAGAAGTTGGAAAGCCCAAACGGGTGAGAAGCGATAACGATCCTACTTTTCGAGGCGAGAAAAGTGACTGGAGAAAGTATTGCTTGAAGCAGAGTCCTCCGATCGAGCCAACTACGTCTGCGCCGTTTACGCCGCAACGTAATGGAGTCGTGGAACGGTGGAACCAAACTTCGAAAAATGCCCTGCGGGCGAATATGATCGGGGTTGATCCTCGTCTTTGGCCATATTGTTCAAAGTATATACCCTGGACTTGGAATCGGTTAGCCCGGAAAGAGCAAAAGAGTCCATTTGAAAAAGTTCACGATCGCGCGCCTTCGCTCAAGTATTTCAAGAAATTCGGAGTCCTTTGCTATGCTCGGAAGCACGTTACGAAATCGACGGACTTAGGTGCGCTCGATGTTCGGTATGAACGTGGTGTATTCTTGGGGTATTCGAAAAACTCTTGCTATTTAGTGGGTGTTTGGCGTGACGACAAACGAACGAAAGTTGGATTAAGGTTCACTGTGATCGAAAATAGATCCTGCAAGTTTGACGAATCTTGTACGATCGCCGACATTGACGATCTTCGCGAAAAGAACCGTGGCACCTTTGTACCCTTTGCCGCACCCGACAAATTGCGTGTGTCGAACATGCCTGATCCGTTGGTGGCTCCCTCGGGAAGTCATGAGCCCGATCAGGATGCTCCGCGTGACCAGGGTGATTCGGGGCCCAATGGGGCTACTGGAGACCAACAGGTCGAGGAAGGGGGCAAAGCAGTGGAAGGGGGCAAAGAGGAAAGTGCTGCGCAAGCAGAGGAAGAGGTAGTTATTCCCGAAGCGGAAGAACTTGACGAACCTCCCGCCCGCCCAAAGCCCAAGGTCGTCAAGAAGAAAAGAAAGCAAAAGCCGAAGCCTGCAGTCGTTGTCAACAACAAAAAGGGTCGCCCGAAAGGTTCAAAGAACAAACCGGGAAGCAAAAAGCCAGGTCCTAAGCCAAAAGCAGCAGAAGCTGGAAACGTATTTCAGTTGCCTGATGATTTTGACTTTGGTCGAGACTTGGACGAGTACCATGCCAAGCGCATTGAGGAAGAAGGTGAAGAAGTTTTTGCTCATGTGGTGTCACTCACCAGAGCGCAGATTCTTCGAGATCCTGATGCTCCGAAGTACATAGAGGCCGACGATGTTGAACGACTCAGACTTTTAGCAAAAGAGTGCTGGACAGTAGACGAGAAACCACAAAAAGGCGACGAAGTTGTGCCGTCGTGCGTGATCTACACGAAGAATAGATGTGGAACATACAAAGCGCGGCTGGTGGCACTTGGAAACTTACAGTCGAAAGAACTCTGTGGCGAAATTTACAGTCCTACCATTTCGCACGCAGCTAGTAGAGCCCTACTTGTTGACGCTGCTGCAAATGGTAAACGGATCAAATTTTTCGACATTTCAAATGCGTTCATTTGTGCGAGTTTAGGTGACGAGCGAGTTTTCGTGCGTCTTCCGAAGCACTGGAGCACTGTTCCGAGAGGTGATGTCGTGCGCCTACTGAAGTCTCTTTATGGTCTTCGAATTAGCCCGCGTCGTTGGTTCGATACCTACAGGAAGACTTTGGAGGAACTAGGTTGGAAGATGTGTGAACGGGAGCCGGGGTTGTTCCGTAAAGGCGTTCTTACGTTGAGCGTGTACGTGGATGACTGTGTCATGAGTGGTGACACGGAAGAAATTCTCGTCAAAGAGATGGGGAAAATTTTGGACAAATTTCCTGGAAAAGTGATCCCGCCGAAAGCGAAACCAGTTGAAAAGGGTTGCGAAGTTTTCGACCTCCTGGGGGCCACTCTGGAATACAACGCATCGAAAAAGACCATGAGGATCCACATGGCAGAGGCTATTGACAGAGTTTTGAAGAAATTCAATATGGTTGATTGTCGGGGAGTTGCTACGCCTGTACTTCCTGGAAGACAGTTGCCAGAAATTCAGACTACTGAAGTTGATACTTCTGCACCGGAAACAAAATTCCCATTGCGTAGCCTCGTGGGTAGCCTGCAATATATCGCTTGTATGTGCAGGGTAGACATTGTCTACGCGGTGCAGCGTGTTGCAAGAGAAGTAGCAAATCCGACACCCCAAGCGGTGAAAGCAGCAAAACGGATTTTGGCCTACTTGAAAGCAACTCGGGATATCGGTTTAGAATACTCGCCAAAAGCTGAAGAAGATTTTCGCACGGTTTACACCAAAGTGACAAAGGAGGCCAGTCGGGATTGTCCTGATTTGTGTGCTTTCAGCGATAGCGACTTTGCAGGGTGTACAGTTACACTGAAGTCCACCAGCGGTAGTATCCTGTATTATCGTGGTTGTCCAGTCGCTTGGTCGTCAAAACGACAGACAGTCCGTGCTTCCAGCACGTGTGAGGCTGAGTATGTTGCGATTCATGACACGATCAAAATGTGCTTGAGCCAGGGCTGGTCAGATTGGTTTATGGAAACTGAAGGGGAAACGCTTCCGCTCATTTTCACAGACAATCAAAGTGCGTTAAGTCTCAGCAAGAGTAGTATCATCACTAAGCGTTCCAAACATATTGACTTGCGTTATCACATTGTCCGTGATCATTGTCAGGATTTGTGTTTTGTGCCGACAAAAGTAAACAAGGCCGACCCCCTGACCAAGGGCCTGCCTGGTGAAAAATATTTGTCTTTGTTCAAGACGGACCCAAAAGCAGAACTTCACACAGTGCGCGCGTTTCATGTGTCGACTGACCTTCGGCCCATTGTACTAGAGCCCGCCACTGTTATGATGTTGACTGCGAAGCTAAGTAAAGCATCTGGATTGACCATCCAGATCGAAGGAAAGCCCTACGACTTTGCCTAGTCGTTTGTGCCAAAAAGGAAGGAGGAATGAGGTATATGCTACAGGTGAACAGTGGTTACTATAGCTTCGGAAGGGGGAATGTTGGATAGATCGGAATCATAAATGACCTAGTGACGATCAGAAGCATACTACGATGTAAATCGCGATGCAAATCTGGTCTGATGTCAAATCCCTCGGGCTTGTAGTGCCCTCGATCTGAAATCCATGATCCTCCTCCGATAGCCGTAGCCATCCTGTTTGTCATGCATATTGTCCATCCTCTTGATATCTCATCACACCCCTGCAGGTTGCGACTAGTACCCATACTAGTGCGTCGATAACAGATAGTAAACACACAGTGACTCGTAGTCACTTAGTACTGCTAGTGCTTGTTCCCATCTCGTTTACCTCTGTTGTTACTATCGTGCGTCTAGGCTTCTAACATTTTCACAGGAGCCCCTTGAGCAGCAAAAGTTGTTTCCCTTGCTCGGAGTCTAATCCACTGCAAAATAAACGTTCCCAGCCCAAATTCAAGCTGGCAAATTTTGCTACACAAATCAACTCCTTGTCCTCGCTGCGCATGACAGGTGTCTTGGGCTCGAAGTGTAATTGTGTTCAGCTATTGCAGCAGCATCACACTTCGATCTTATAATCCTGGTTCTTGCGACATGATATGCTCTCAGATAGCATGAAAAAACGCTCCTCATGGGGCTGCGCATGAGAAACTTTTTCGGTTTGCAAATTTGCCGGACAAATGTATTGGGATTATAGGAACGCTTTAAAGTTTTTTACACAGGATAACTACAAGTACTGCGGTCACAGATCCACTATCCTGAGTAAAAACGTCACCGCCCCAGAGTCAAGATGGAGACTTTGCAAAGCAAGCTTAATAGTTTTGGGATTTCGGCATCACAACTTGCAGTCCGTAGTGTAGTGCAGCTCAGCAGGGTGAAACGCATCGCAAATCCATCTGCTTACCCTGGTTAATACAGCGTTACAAATGCCACAACACGATTAGAAATGCCTCTCATAGAGTAGATGCGAATTACATAATGTTCTTTTCATTGCAAATCTGCATGACGAGTCTGTGGTTGGGACGTTGTTACAAATGATATCCACTCGGGGAAGCTTACAGGTCCGCTCGATTTCCTGTGACGGGTTTCCATTGTAGTAGTTCGTCATGGTATCAAAATGAAAAATCCCCCCACCCCATACTCAAACTAGAAATTTGTGATGCAGATTTGTGGTCACAAATCAGCTCTGTCATGCTCGAAGGGAAAAGATGCGGACTCTAGTGCTGGTTGGCGTGGGAACAAAGTCCTGCGGCTTCAGTATGACAGGAAGCAACTCGAAGCGCGAAACAGCATGAAAAATAGCCTGCAAACGAGGCCACAGCTGCGTCTCTTGGCCTTCTAGCGTTACAAGTCGATTTGTGTACTACTCAAATACAGCATCACAAATTTCGTTTTCGGTATGGGGAGGGGGTATTTTTCATTTAAATACATGGTGACACGGGTGCCGTTGCGAAGCGGTTCGCCATAATGAATGTTGTGGCTCGTGAACAGAATCATGGAGCCGGGCGGCGCGGCCAGTCGCACGATGGCTCGGATCGTTCCCTCTGCCAGCTTCGTGCTCATGGTGCGGTGGTGAAACTGTGTCCGCTTTTCTGGACTATCGGGCCACTCGGAGCCACCACCTGGGACGTCCTCGAAGTTAAGCTTCGTCTGCGCCGGCAGATCCGGGCGGAGGGAGGCGTCTGGGTAGTCAATTGCCATTATGCATTGCAAACATAACAATTTTTATCACTGGATGTCTGGAAGGGTTGCATTACCTATACATTGTGAGATGCCAACTCTGCTGGAGCACACAAAAATTATTGTGTTTCGGACACGCCAAAGAAAGCTGCCCACTTTTTGCGACGAAAGTCGGCAGTTATGTCTCACGGGGGCGACAAGGGATCAAGAGGCGTCCGCAAAAGAACCTGAATATGCTTTATTTCCGTGCATCAGACATTATTTGTGTCATGATCTGAAAGCAGATGCATGATCGAAACTACAAGCGCATTCCTCTACTAGACCCAGATCGATATATAGTATATTTGCAATCGATAGCCATGTATCAAATGCAAAAATGTCTGGGTCTGGAAGAATGCGCGATTTGTCATGCAGCTTTTCCATGACCCATGAGGTCTGTAATGCAGGACCTAAAATGACAGATTCTGTGCACTCTCTCTCATGCCTATCCTGCATGAGAAACTCTCTCCCGACTTGGCCAAAACTGAACGACTTTTGGTAATCATGCAACACAGATTTTTGCATGCTTCAGATTTAGCATGACAAGTTGCATTCTTCCAGACCCAGACATTTTTACATTTGATACCATGCTGAAAGGACCATTGTCCAACACGTCGTTTATATCGCAAGAAAAAACTGTTTCACTGTGAACTTGTGATGCAGAAAAGGCATTACTGAAGAGAAGTGTTTCTCTTGCTACACATGCAAGACAAGTGATTTTTAGAGTGTTTTCCCGTAGGATACTCGCATGGCAAGCTTTCTTTGTAATGTGTAACGAACTTGTAATGCAAAACTTGCAAAATCCTTACAGTGAAGCAGTTTTTTCTTACGATAGTTTAGGTACAGGATGGCCTTGGCGCCGAGATAGAAGTCATCCTTGTGCCAGGGACCCCCGGAGTTTGCGGGCTTCCCGTTCCACTTTACTACGCCCACCAAGGTGGTCAGTTTCCCTCGGTGAAGCTGTACCTTGTCCCGCTGATACAAGTGCTTCGCGACCAGCCACGGGAACCGGTCTATCGAAAGGAAAGGCCCCCCCTCCCCATATCAAAACGAAATTTCTGATGCTGGATTTGTGTACACAAATTTGCATTGCAGGAAGGCATTGCGGCCAGATGCCCAGCCTAGGTAGGGGCGTATGGGTCTAGTTGCTCAGCATGGCAAACGGCTCCCCTTTAGGCCCAACAGCATGACAAATCGCTTCCATAATGGGGCGGAAGCTTCTGCCCTTGTCTTCTTGCAAGACAGAGGTGATTTGTAACCTCAAATCAGCAACACAAATTTTCGGAAACATACCTCTTCAATATGGGAAGGGGGAGTTCTTCCCTTCAATACGGTCCTCCTTGAATCTCTTGGCCTGCCGCGAGAACTTCTCCGCCGCAATATCGTAAGGAAAGACCCCCCTCCCCATATCGAAATGGAAGCCACAGAAAATTTGCAATCGTCTCTGTCTTGCAAGAAGGCAAGTCCACAGGCTGCGCCGCACTATGCAGGCGGTTCGTGATGCTGCTGGGCCTACAGTGTGGACATTTGTAATGCTAGACGCCAATGTCAAAACCTTGCTTCCCAAAGTTGGCACACAACTGCAGTCCTCTACTGCAAGACGAATCTGATTTGTGTACGCAAATCCAGCATTACAAACTTCCTTTTCGATATGGGGAGGGGGGATTTTTCCGTTTGATACGCAAACGACCGGGAGTCAAACCCGTTTCCGCGGTGGTTGTGACATCCTTCTTGCTGAAATTTATCCACCTCTTCCTATGGATTGCAAAAATGTCTGGGTCTGGAAGATTGCCAGGTTTGTCATGCAGGTTTTCCATAACCCATGAGGTCTGGTATGTAGGACATAGCATGACAGATTCTGCGAAGCCTTTCCAATGCTTATCCTGCATGAGAAACTGCCTCTCGATTAGGTCAAAAGTGCACAACCTTTGGCAATCATGCAACACAGCTTTTTGCCTGATTCAGATTTAGCATGACAAGTTGCATTCTTCCAGACCCAGACATTTTTACATTTGATACTTCCAGTGCCTTGTCGACTTGCTCCGTTGTCCAGTAATTGGGAATCACCACAAAGAATCACAAGGAAAAATCCCCCCGCCCCATATGATCAAAACGAAGTTTCTAATGCTGGATGTGCGTGCACAAATCGGATTGATCTTGCTGGAGAGGGCTGCAGGCCTCTACTGGGACTGAGTAGAGACGTTTTGGGCTAGGCGCTGAGCATGGCAGACGTCTAGTTTGTAGGGCCAACAGCATGACAAACCGCCTGCAGAATGCGGCGGAGCCTGTGGAGTTGAGTTCTTACAAGACAGAGCCGATTTGTAGTCGCGCATCAGCATTACAAATTTTCTGAGACATACCTTTTCAATATGGGGAGGGGGGGTTTTCCTTTCGATACAAAGGGCCGATGGTTCACGGTCATGTAGTCCGCGATCTCCTTATAGGAGGGGAAAATCCCCCCTCCCCATATCAAAAGGAAGTTTCTGATGCTGGATTTCCGTACACAAATCAGATCTGTCTTGCAGAAGGTGCTTGGCGGCATTTTCTAAGCCTGTTTGGATATGCAGAAGGCTAGCAATTAGGCATGAGATACAGGTTTGCAGTAGTCAAAAGCGCGTGACAGACTGGCTGTGGAATGCGCCACATCGTTCGCATTCCCCTAGAGGCAAGACAGAGGGTATTTGTTACCACAAATCAGCATCACAAATTTCCATTTTGATATGGGGAGGGGGGATTTTTCCTTACGATACTCCTTCGCCATCTTTTCCCGTTCCTCTTCCGATAGGTGCGGGCCGTAAAACTTCGTCAAACGGTGTGCGTTATCAACTGCAACAATGTCATCTGGGTCTGGAAGAATGCGGCCAGACTTAGTGTCATGCTGGTTTTATTCCATCACCCATGAGGTCAGGTATGTAGGACATAGCATGACAGATTCTGCGAGAGTTGTGCTACCATGCCTATAATTCTGCATGAGAAACTGCGTCTCGGAGGTAGGTCAAAAGTGGACAGCTTTTGGTAATCATGCAAAACAGATTTTCACATGGTTCAGATTTAGCATGACAAGTTGCTTTGTTCCAGACCCAGACAGATTTTCACTTGATATGCGTCGAACGTGACCTTCCCCCGCGCCGTCCGGTAAATATGGCGTTCTCAACTGTTCCATTCTCAGCTGTTAGATGGATTTGTGCTGATGCAAGAATGGGAAAAGTGAAAGGAGGGGCATTGCGCGTCTTGCATGACAGATTTGGCACAGATCATCAGCCTGTTTGGCCCTCCCAGAATTTGTCATGCAGAACAGCTTGACCGTGTAGATGATAATGGTAGTTTTGCATGACAAATCATGTAACAGCTGAGAATGTAAAAACGTTTGAGAATCTGATAGTAAAACCGCTCGTGTTCGACCAAAAATGCCGGGATCCCTGTAAAATCCTCGGGGGCCTTCGCACAGGTCGAGTCCATGCGCTATTACAGTGAAAAGTGCCCCCCACCCCTAAATTGCAAAAATTTGTGATGCGAAATTTCCAAATGAAAACTTTTTGTCATGCATGAAAGGAGTATGAATCTTTCTGATGCAGAATGTAGGCGTGTATCGCATCGCTTGCATGACAAGCGCCGCTCTTGCTGGGGTCTTTTGCAATACAAATTTTTGCTCTTAACGATTGAAAACCTGTGATGCTGATAGATGCAAGAGGGCGAGTGTTTCATTTGGAAAGGTTTGCAATACAAATGCTCCCAAGTTCAGGGGTGGGGGCATTTTTCATTGTAATATGCGCCGCGGGCAGTTCTTCCCGTGCTTGAAGCAGGATCGTGGATACGAGGGCGTTTCCGCGGGGTGGCAGAATGACTGCGCAAACTCCTTCCTCAGCTGCCCGAGGAGTGCTGCTGGTTTTGTCGTCTTTACGTCGCTCGACGTCGGGGAGGTATCTTTATTATTTTCCATGTTTACTACTGCTCCAGTGGTCGTGGATGGGGTGGTAATACTACTAGGTGGGGACGCAGCAGTATCACAGGAAAAAAGTGTGAACAGTTCTTACACATTTGGTGCAATTTCAGCATCACAAAGTTGCTCTGCATACTAGCAAAGAAAACTTGTAATGCGTGGCAGGCTATGAAGGAAGACACGCACGAAATGAGGCTGGAAAGCATTTCCTGCATGACACAGGTTGTCTTTCTTGCTGGTCTTGCATCAGGGTGTGTAACTGTAACACTTCTTTCCTGCGATAAGGAGCAGCAGCTTCGCCGGTTCCTGTGCCTGTCCCCGCAGGGACATGATCCGTGCCGCCGCTGAGTGTAGGTCTTCCTGCTGTGCCCGTCTCGACGGCAGCGCCAGCGTGTTGAGGATCTGTTGACGTCGATAGTCCGCTAGACGTAGTTTGTTCGTCTTTTGCGATAGCAGAAGCTTTTTTTGCACTAACTACCGCGCCGGCCATGGCCTGTCCTCTCGGGGGGTCGTCTGCGTTTCGCATGAGTTTATTTCCACGCACGGACTGACGCACGTTGTTCAACTCGTTGCTGCAGGAGTGCTGGAACAAATCTGGTTGCGTGGACCGCCGGCGCCACACTTGCATCCAACAGATCAGAAGCGACAGCCCCACCCATTGTAAGAAGGGCCGCGGGCAGCACAACCCCGCGCCTAATTCGGGCATCTTCGTCCGACTTCCGAACTGATCAGGGACGAAGAAGTGCCTTTCTCAAATTCTCGGAAGCTCCGCGGCACAACGCAAATGCCGGAAAACCACCGCACAGAGGACCCCGCGGTCCTTTTGTAGCTCGATTTTCCTGGGCCGGGGATGCGACTCGGTTGGTTGGTTGCTTCGCTTACTAAGCCATCTCTGTTTATTCACGCAAAACCTCTACTTACCCATCCGGAATTGGACTGGCAGTGCAGACCAGATTGTTGAATTTTCGAAAGAACGCTAGTAGAAATGCTGTGCCATTTTTGCATAGTTGATCCGCCGAAAGAGGGCTATGTATTTAGTTGTGCACGCGTCGTGCATTCGTGCACTGAGTGTGCGGCTGTTCATCTTCCATGTTACTTATCGTGAAGTAATTCTATCATCTTTTGGCGGGAAGAACACGACGCCGCAGGTCTTTCATACCTCTGCGCGACGGAAGAGGACGACACCTGTTGCGCGCAATAAAAAAAGGCGCGCTACAATTTTTTTCGTTCTAAGCCTTTTGTCTTTTTTACGACGCTGTCTGATGTGCATTGGTTGATGGGCAACTAATGCCAAAAGCAACAAACAGAGGCGCACAACAAAAGCCTAAAACAATGCAGATTTTCTTGCATCTTTTTATTCGTGTAGAGTTCTTTTTTTCCATTATCTCTCTTTTCGAGACATTTTTAAGTACTTGCTATTCGCCTGTACGAAAAAATCGGAGGCTCCATGCCAGGAATCGCATTACAGCCGTCCGGCCTTTGCGTACCGGCAGAAAAAAACCGCACTGACGAGACACCACGCTGCTGCGACTGCCAAAGTGATCATCCACCCGCTGCGCACTGGCGCACCGCCGGAGGCGGTGAGAATGTAACCAGTAGCCGGAACACTGAGGACGCCTCCCAGAGTCCCTGCAAGATTTACGACACCGATGAGGTAGCCAGCGTCTTTTCCATCGTTGATATCCAGATGGGCCACCCCGAAGCCGCCCCGTGAGAAGCCCAACCCGAAAAAGGCCGCGCTTATAGCCAAGCTGGCGCAGGCTGCGCTAGAAGTTGATGATGTAGTCGACGTGCCAGCAGGAAAGGTCGTGGGCGTCGTGCTGGCGTTCTGGTGGCCCCCTGTTCGCGATGGACCGCCGCCTCTGGTGTTTGAAGACCGGCCGACTGCAAGTACCTCCCCACCAGGACCGAACTGCTTATTGCGGTCTAGTGCCTGCTCTTCCAATTCGCTTTGACTGCTCACGGTGGGCGACGAGGATCTCCACGTTATTGTGAGAAAAAGTTGTCCCCTCCTGCCCATACCAAAACGGGATTCTTCTCAAAATTTGTGACGCGGATTGGAGGCCACAGCAAATCGCTTCCGTATTGCTAGAAGACAAATCCAAAGACCCCGCCTCGTTCTGCAGGCAATTTGTAATGCTGTATGGCCTACTGAGAATATGCCTGTCTTGCTAGGCGCCTACACCAAATAAACATCCATGATGCGGCTCTACATCTGTCTGCAGTGCTCTACTACAAGACAATACATCCGATTTGTGTTCTTGCAACACAAATCCCGCATCACAGATTTGCATTTCGATATGGGGAGGGGGGATTGATTTTCCTTTTGATACACGCCTCCCCCCCTGCAGATGGCGTCGTTGCCTCGAAGACGGCGCGGCGCGCACGACTAGCGCGATCTGGGGTCGACGTCCTTGTGGCAGCAGGTCGTGGCGCAACATGAACATGATCACCATGGTAGTCCACATTAGGAAGTAAAGCTGTTCGACTTGTTGGCGCTGGAGCTGCTGCGCCGGCTGGTGGTGCGGCCGTAGCACTACTAGCAGGCAAGAGCAGCGCCGAGGAACTACTACCCGCCGCATCCGCGAAAACATTTGCGCGGGCACCATCTTCATCACCTCCGGCTGCACCAGAGGCGACAACGAGGGGCATCCAGAGCAGGGAGGCAGACGCGACCGCAATGCCGGCAGCGTTGACGAATTTGCGAGCGCGAGAAGTGGCAACAGGGCATGAAGATGGGTTGCAGGCTGTAGTTGCAGCTGCAGCCGCGGCTGCGTTGAGGTCCTCAGGGCCACTCGCAGTGATGTCCGGCGTCGTGTCAAGTGGTGTTTTCCTACTTCCCCCGCCCCCCCGCCGGGAGAAGTAGTAGTCTCGAAGCCAGTTGCATCGCAAGAAAAGAGGGTTACAGTTGCACATTGTGCTGCAGGAGCCGCAAGACAGTCAACCTTTGTCATGCGAGAAATGCTTGCGAGCCTCGTTTCCTACGTATTTACCAGTATGATCTTTGCATTACAAGTTTTGTCTGGCACACAGAGAAAATTTGTGATGCAGAAACTCCAACAAATGTGTAACTGTAACACTTTTTTCTTGTGATAAGTTGCTTGCGCGCGAGCCAAGATTGGTAGCCACGAACATCAGGCCGTAGGGTGCAGCTTTGTTGGCGGTCCCCTGTCGCGCCCCGCCACACCGCGCAAATTCCTCCAGAAATGTGGGAAGCCAGCTCATAAGCAGGTAAAACGCGTAATGGAACGCAAAGCTGCTGCACAAAATGACCTGCACCGCAGGATGTGCCAGCAAGGCCTTGTCGCTGCTTCTAATAGCGTGATAATCTTCTTGCTCCGCTTTTGAAGGAGTTACGTAATTTATCAAAAGGAAAAAGGCCCCCACGACGGAATTTGCGAACAGTTTCTCATGCAAAGTTTCCAAGTGGAAGCTTTTTGTATTGCATGAAAGGACTGCGGGCCTTTCTTGTGCAGAATCTAGGTTCTTGAGGTATTTTCTGCATAAAAGAAGATCCTGCTGCTGGGCTCCTTTGCAACACAAATTTGAGCGAATCAGCATGGAAAACTTCTGATGCAGATATATGCAAAACGAGGAATGTTTCCAGCATTGGAAAAATTTGCAATGCAAATGCTGCCAAGTTCATCTGGGGTCTGGGCATTTTTCATTGCAATAGAATTTTGAGCACTCGTCCCAAAAACAACTTCCTCTACAAAGGGCCCTGCGGCTTTTCGCTCCTCATCGTCATCACTGAACGGCGCACCAATAATTGTTCCCCCAGCAATTCCTGCGCGCCCAAGAGCGACGTCTTCGCCGGGGGGCCGCTCGCACCGCATCTCGGCAAGAACCAAAGGGCGCACCTCCTTCGCAACAACATCGGGGCTGCTTTTTGGGTTTGATTTTGCAACATGATTCGAGGGCGGCGCGACAAGCTGCCTCGTTGGCCTCTCATCTGCAGGAGCCAGCGCTCCTCGCCCTGCGTCCGGCTTTGCACTCGCGCCAGCCCCTGGTGGGACAGTTTCAACTATCTGTAGAGGTGCACGTGGATTGTCTATGGATTGCAAATATGTCTGGGTCTGGAAGTAGAATGCAGTTTGTGATCATACAAGAAATTTGAGGCAGCACAAGGGTCTGTCATGCATTAACAGCAAATGCGGCCCAAAACTTGACACCACACTAGGGGACTCATTCCTCTGGCGGATTAGGCAACATTGGGACACCTTCGCAAGACGGGTGATGCGAGGGCTTGCATGGCAGCCCCAGACATCTTTGCATTTGACATTGTCTTCGCCGATCTCGTTGTTGTGCGCGTGGCTAATCTATCAAATGTAAAAGTGTCTGGGTCTGGAAGAATGCAACTTGTCATGCTAAATCTGAATCAGGCAAAAAGCTGTGTTGCATGATTGCCAAAGGTTGCGCACTTTTGACCTAATCGAGAGGCAGTTTCCCATGCAGGATAGGCATTGGAAAGGCTTCGCAGAATCTGTCATGCTATGTCCTACATACCAGACCTCATGAGTTATGGAAAACCTGCATGACAAACCTGGCAATCTTCCAGACCCAGACATTTTTGCAATCCATATAATCTGGTCTCGCGTCTCATCCTCTACAGCAGCAAGATCGACCAGATCCCCCGCGGCAGACTGCTCGACGTGTTCGCGACCGCGGTTCAGGTCGGCATAGTCAAACCGGAAGGTGGTGGCACTACCTGCGCCGCTGCCGGAGCGAAAACAGGAGAAGAGCGCACCTTCTTGAACCACATCACCCCGTGGGAAGCAGGCCCTGTCAAACAGCAAGAGCAACAGCGCGCAGCATACGGGCAGGGCTACCGAAGCCAGGAAGCCGGCGATCGAACCGTAGGCCTCGAGCAGGTCGGCCGCGTACACCATTGCCACGAGCCCTCCGAGGTACATGCCCGAGACCGTGCCGCTCACCGTATTGAAAGGAAAGCTCCCCCCTCCCCATATTGAAAGGGTATGTCTCCGAAAATTTGCGCTGCTGATTTGAGGCCACAAATCACATCTGTCTTGCAAGAAGGCAACTCCACAGTCTCCGCCGCATTATGCGGACGGTTTGCGATGCTGCTTGGGCTACAGCATAGACATTTGTGATGCTAAGCGTCCACGTCAGAAGCTCTGTACTCCGGCACGGCATATGCCTCAAATCCTCTACTGCAAGACAGCTTTGATTTGTGTACACAAATCCAGCATCAGAAGTCCTGTTTTGATATGGGGAGGGGGGATTTTTCCTCACAATAAACTGCGTTGGCCAGGCTCCTCGGCTCGCACTCGTCCGCCAAGATTTGGTGAATTGCGGGGATCACGAGCCCTTGGCAAATCCCTGCGAGAAAACGACCGCCGCCAAGTGCCAGCACAGGGACTTCTGTGCGAATTGTTTCCGGTTTCTCTTGCAGCTGGTGGGCGGAAGGAGCTTCTACCACCAGAGTTCTTGTACGACTAGCACTACTTGGCGCCTTAATCAACAATATATCGTCTGCAGCTGCCTTATTGAATACAGCAGAAGCAGTGGCAGCTACAGCTTTGATGTTGTGGTCCTCTCCTTCCATAGTAGAAGTTGACGCAACTGCTCTTGTTGAAGCTGATCCGGATTGTCCCGGTGCCGCCGGTTTTGTACTTGCCGCGTCGTCCCAATTAATAATGATTCCGCCCGGCGCGCCATTTTTGCCTAAGTCGCTCGAGCTACTACTGGTGGAGGCTTGATGTTGTTCCCTGTCGGTTTTGATCGGTTCCTCCAGGGAACGACGAAACTGCGGTCGCAGCGCCGGAATGTTTACGTTTGGCGGAGATGAGGTTTTCGATGTGCCGACGCTGTTTTGCATCTGTTCTTGTCGAGCATGGAGGTACGGTGCGGGGGCATCACCGTGGACATACCAGACCAACGCTGCGCTCAAGCAACACCAGGCGGCGCAGCTGGCATAGAGCTGCAGGAAGCCGAAGCCTTTCTGACCGCGCTCGGTTGCACGCCGAGACAGTTTCCGCGCTAGCACACCCCCCGGAATCTGCGAGATGGCATAGCCAACAAAAAAGGCTCCCAGAATGTGGCCGCGAACCTCGTCGGTGACTCGGTGCGGGCTACTACCCTGACGCGACGAGCTATTCCCAGAATCCTGACGCGACGTTGCGCTGTAGTTGTCCACCTCCCCTGCCGCTGCTCTTTCCGCCAAAAATTTCCGCAAGAGTATCGGAAACCCGACACGATCGATGTACAGTGATGCCATTAGTGGAAACAGAATCCATGGCAGCGCGGAACCCCTGGTCAGGCTGAAACAGGAGAAAGTGGAAGATTTGGAAGTGCCCTGCGGGGATGGTAGCACAACTCCGAAAACGCTACCCATGGAGTAGTAGTTTGCTTCAATAATACGCACGACAAGAAGAACAACAACGTATTTCGCACGACAAGTAGCAGTTTGCTTCAATAATACGCTACAATAATACGCACGAAAGCGATTTCCTGCCTGTTAGAACAAAGTAAAGCAACAAAACTGCCTGGCTAGAGCGTAGTTCGGCAACTCACTACGGCAAAGCTGGAGCAGCCAAACCTGTTTCATGGAACAACAAGAAGAGAAGAGAAAGAACCGAAGACCGTTCTTGTCTGTTGTACTCTTGTAGAACGTTTGAGCTCTTATATTTAGCACCTCCTGTGTCGAAACAAGGCGTGCATCCTCTTTTCTTCTTCGGAAAAATTATTTCTTGATCCAGCCGCAGGTTGGAGCTCGCACATGTGAGTAGTCCTCAAAATTATCGTGGCTATTATTCAGTACTTTTTCTATAGCAGTGCGCGGACTTCTCGGTCGTCGCGGCATGATCTCAGCACCGGAGTGGCTCGCGTGTTCACCACCACGGCGGATGAGCGTAACCAAGCGGCTTTTCGAGATTCATCGTATGCGACACGTTGTCACATATCCCACGAAACAAACTGTTTCACTGTGATGATTTTGCAAGATCTGCATCACAAGTTTGTTACACATGACACAGAAATAAATTTGCCATGCGCGCTTCTAAAAGGAAAACACCTCTAAAGAGTCAAGGTCTTGCAGGTGTAGCAAGACAAATAGTTCTTTGTTCCATTCTACGCATCAGAAGTTCACAGTGAAACAGTTTTTTCTTGCGATATCACACACGCCAAAAACATTATCGACCTTCTCTTCGCATCCCCGAACGCGTTCCATGTCTAGTAATTCCCATGGTTCGCTTATCAAAAGGAAAAATCCACCCTCCCCATATCAAAAGGAAAGCTGTGAAGGTGGATTGGCGTACACAAATCAGACCTGTCTTGCAGTAGAGGACTGCAGGCCCATACCATGCCAATGCAGAGCGGTTTTGATGGCCTAGGCACCTAGCCTGAGGAACGTCCATGCTGTAGGCCCAACACCATGGCAAACTGCCTGCATAATGAGGCGGAGTCTGTGCCGTTGCTTCCTTGCAAGACAGACACGATTTGTAGTCACAAGAAGCATCACAAATTCTCTGTGGCGTGCCTTTTCGATATGGGGAGGGGGAGTTTTTCCTTACGATATCGCTCAGATCAAACTCAAGAACGATGATACTAAATTGCGCGAGAGAGGGGGGCGCCAGCGGTCTGCCAGACGCTTTTTGTTTTTTGAGGTTTTCCCAGCCGCGCGTGGTCGCCTGGATGCGTTTCTCCGTACGTCGCGAAGCAACACTGGACAGCGCGGGCCCGTTCGCGCTGCTTTCTTGCCACTTCGGGTCAGCACTGGTGGCGGTGGCTGTGCCTCCGGCCCCCGAAACAGAACGCCGCTCGCGAAAGGCTTTTGCACTCTGACGCGTCACTCGATAGTGCACCGCGAGACCAGTGCTCTTCTCTCTGCGGCACCGGCCCATACAGGCGTGCACCCATGAGACCAGCTTCCCCGAAGCAGGTATAGCGTCCGCCTTCACCCCCTTTCTGAGCTGCTTCAAAAAGTGCAACACAGCCTCTCCCGGGAGCCAGGTGAAGTAGACGTCGCCCTCCACCAGGCCCAGCTCTGCGCGCTTTAACTCCGCTGCTTGCACTCCGGACATTCGCTCAGCTGTGAGCCCTGTCACCGTTTCCGCACCAAACTTTGTCGGACAAAGAACGGACACCCGGTTTGCCTCGGTGCCTTGGCGTGCTAGAGCGTGAAAATGTTTGCAGTTCTGCGGGTCCGCTTCTACGAACGTGCTCGATCGAGCAAATTTTGCCACTATGCCAGCCCGCTTGGTATCACGGGCACCAATATCGACGTAGCGCTTTCTGTTCGCCAGGGTGGCAATGTGCTCATAAACTTGCATTGGTGTCGCGTATACTTCATCCAGCTGCGCTGCTAGTGCGTCCCACTGGACGTTCACGCTAGGAGTTGTCCCCGTTTGTTCGTCTGCGCTCGTAAGAGCACGACCAGGCAAGGCATCCGACGATGGTACCCATGGAGCCGTTGTTTCTGATGTGTGCGGCTGCGTGGTGGCGGTGGTGTTCGAGGCAAGGAACCGAGAAGCAGCCCCGCTAAATATTGTGACGAAAAATCCCCCCTCACCATATTGAAAACGCATGCGCCTGAAAATTTGTGATGCTGATTTGTGACCACGAATCCTGTTTGTCTTGCAAGAAGGCAAATCTAGAGAGTCCGCCGCACTCTGTCGACGGTTTGCGATGTTGTTGGGCCTACAGCGCAGACGTTTCTCATGCTAAGAGCCTAGTCCAAAACCTCTCTGCTCAGGCTTAGTATGGGGCTGCAGTCCTCTCCAGCAAGACAAATCAGATTTGTGTACGCAGATCCAGCATCACAAACTTCGTTTTGATATGGGGAGGGGGAGTGTTTCCTTGCAATACTAAAGAAGGAAAAAAAGTGGGCGGCCCATGCGCTGCTCTCCGTAGGTAGGATCGACAAGTATTGCCCGCGTGCGTTCTTTACCACAGCAGCGAGCACCAAAGTCTTCAACGCTAAACGTGCCAGCGCCATCAACATTCCGAGGCCAGATTGATGTGGGCCGTTGTTCCGGAGGCATCTCAGGGAGGCTCTTCTCGAACTTTAAGTCTACTAGGGGCGCGCCTCAGCGCGCCGCACCAGCATAGTTTAGTTTCATTTTTTTAGCACATCTGATCTCCGCGCAATCTGATTGGCTAAGTTTATGCACGCTGCAACTGCACTACTTTACATTCTTGGTCCACTATACTTGCAAGGGAGTTGTAAGTTGCACTTCTAAAGAAGGGGGCGGCAAAAAGGTTTCTCGTCATGCTTGTCATGATCCTTCCGCTGGCTGCTTATCCTTCGTTTCATTTTCACTTTTCTCTATCGGGGAAAGCAGAAAAAAATCATCTCACATAGTAGCTGCACTGCTACTTCCGGTACACATGGAGCCCGTGCAGGTCGACGATGCCCACAGATTTATTCACAGGAACAAGGTAGAAAAACCAGCAGCACATACAAGTTCCAACCTTCCAGACCCAGACCGATATTTGCAGGTTATACGGTCGCTCTGGGGTGGAGCTTTTGAGTGGAGGATCGCTCCAACTACGTACTACAGCCAAGGACGTTCCAGATAAACTGTGCCACGCTCGCCTGAACAATGGGCAGCGGCATGTGGGCATCGGTGTGGCGCTGCCAGGCTTGGCTGCTAGGAAACGCGGGTAGAGCCGGAATATGTTTTTTTTCCATTTCCTCGGCGGCGTACGTGTTCCAGAGCCGCATGAAAGAGTGGCCACGGCGATCCTGGAAGCCGCGCACGAACCCGTCGTTGCGAAACGGAAAGTCGTTCAAATCGTGCCAGTAAATCGGCTTGCCGAACTTCTTCACCGCCGCCGCAAAACCCGCACCGCGAGCCGAAACTGTCTCCACGTACCGCGCTGTTTTCCAGCGGGAATTACCCGCAGAGGCGTGCTGGCCCATCCCGGCAATGACCAGGTCAAAGTTCTGAAGATTCAACTGCTCGGGCGTCTGCGCCAGCCGGGTGTTGAACACGTCGTGCTGCACGCACAGCTTGATGTTTTTGCAGCGGTCCGGGAGGTTTTTGCCTTCGAGGCAGGAATTCGAGGCCCACCCACCGAGAGGCCCCTTGGGCCCGCAAATGTGGTTCACGAGGGCGTTGTAGAGCGTGCGCGCGTGCGAGTCGCCCACCACCAGGATGCCCTTGCCCTGCAGGCACTGCGCGGCGCGGTCCCCAGCCAAGTACGGCAGGTGGCAGTTGCGCGGCTCCCACACGTAGTGATCCTTGAAGGCTCCCAAATTCTCGCGGGCCACCATTTCTGGGCGGTAAGCGGCCAGCTTCGCGTCTCTCGCGGTGCCATTGCCGCGAAAAACCCAGCGGCCAAACCCGAAGTCACCCGGATTTTTCTTCAAGTCGCACCGAGGAAGCTGCTGTTGAGCGGTTCCGGCAGCTAGGACGTCAGCAGCTCCACTTGTTCCACCCAAGTCTATGAACACCCGCGAGCCCAGAACGTCGTCGTTGTTCCCTGCTATCCACTTTCTCGGCTCCGCTTCGCTGATTCCCCTCCACCGCTCCCGCTGCATCCACAGTTCGGCGCGGTAGCGTCCCGGCGTCGTCACGTTGTACAGCAGCTGGTATTGGCAGTCCCCGAGGACTCGAAAACCCGAGGGGTCCGTTAGTGCGTGAAGCTCCGGCCCCAACAGGTAGAACTCGAACTCGTCGGACCCAACCAGCTTCTTGACACGCTGCACGTAGGCGGCATCATTGGAAAAAGTCACGCTTCCTTCCTGACAGCGCAGGTTTCGGACGAAAAAGTGGCCGCGCGTCGCGGTTTCTGGGCACCGCCAGACATCATACTTTTTCGTGATGTTGCCGTCCACCGCTGCGACGTCGCAAGGGCCCGCGTACCTCGTGTCATTTTCAAAGCCGGCGTCCCGTGACGGCGCCACTCTTTCCCACGCCGTTGCGCATGGTGCTACTGATTTGTCCGGAATCGCTGACGGTCTTAGAAACTGATCCGTTTTATTAGCATTGCCGCCGCATGGATCATTCGCCGCGCCTTTCTGCTTCGTCACGCCACCTCCGCCCTTTTTCCCGCCGAGCAGTGACGTTTTTGAAGATTTTGAGCCCGCGCTAGTACTGGTAGAAGTCGTACCTCCCGCCGACTTGCTGGACGAGGCAGCGCCGCCGGTTATTTTCTGCGTTTCTGTTGCTTGCAAGACCTGCGCAGTCAGCTGTGCGTTCATCTCGTCCAGCTGCTTCACGCGTTTTCGGAACCGCTTCACGGTGTCGACTAGTTGAAACCGACTCACTCGAGGGTCTTCCAAGTCAAACTTGTCCAGCTCCTCCGATGAGAATCGCCCGCCCGGGCCGGCTTCCAGGGTTGGCGCACCATTCCCGCAGGAGAGGACTACTCCCTTCTTGGGTATTTTTTGTAAAGATTCTACGTTCTTATTTGTGCTTTGATTCTTTTCTCTGTCCCCGCGGACTACAGGCACCGATGGGGAAGTAGATGGTCCTGCTGGTTGTAGTTCTACACCTTGTGGGCGTGCACTTGATGTCCCCGGATCATGATGCTGTGTCTTGACACACACGACTGCTCCTCCACCATCTGTTACCTGCACCGCAGCAAGCAGAATCCGCGTAAGCCCGATCTGCAGTAAGAGAAGGACCAAACACGCGGCGGTGCCGAGGCTGAGCCGTCGTCTCGACATGCTTGCTCCGACGTGAGTGTCCTCCTGCTCCCTGGACGACGTCGCGTGGGGTTCGTGTTTTTCCAACATATGATCCTGCTGCTGCTTATCCTGAGTAAAAACGTACCCACGCCAGAGTTGTAATGCAAATCTGCATGCTGAAAATGTTTCTCATGCGGAGCCCCATGAGAAGCATTTTCTAGTCGTGTTTTGCAATTGGCCATGCTCCAATCAGCATGGTATGCTAGATCTGTGATGCTGCTGAGCTAGCTCAAACAGCACTACACTACGAATCCAAATTTGTCATGCAAAACAGCCAAAACTTGTGGATTTGTCTAGCCGATTCCCCATCTTGACTCTGGTGTGGGTACGTTTTTACTCAGGATACTGCTGACGAAACGACGAGGTTGTCGCACTCATTCTGCCATCATCAAATGCCGCCATATGGATGTGTCAGGATTGAAATCGACAAAGTCGAAAAATTTGTAATGCATAGAACGCAGGGCACTCGATGCCTGTAATGGGGAGCAGGCAAATGAGATCGATTGCAAGCCTGTCTAGGAATATGGAATGCGCTGCCAGAGTAGCATGACAGGAGCAGTCTTCTTTGCCCAAACAGCATGACAGACTGGATTTGGGTGCTCCCGAAATTTGTCATGCGTCACTTACACCCTGAGGCTCCAACTGGTATCGATGTTATGCATCACAAATTGAAAGACTTATTAAATTTCGATTCTGACACTTCCATACGCCACCGAGAAACAATATTATGGTCCGCAACACCATTAGGATCAACAATATGAGCCGCAGGATATTCTGAGTAAAAACGTCCCCACCCCAGAGTTTGTCATGCAAATCTGCATCCCAAAGAAGTTTGTCATGCGGAGCGCCATGAGAGGCATTTTCTAGTCGTGTTTTGGAATTTGTGTTGCTACAATCAGCGTGGTATACTAGATCTCTGATGCTGCTGAACTACCTAAACAGGATTACACTACGAGGACAAACTTGTCATGCCAAACGACCAAAGCTGGCCGATTTGTCTAGCAGATTTCCCATCTTGACTCTGGTGTGGGGACATTTTTACGCATGATAGACCTCGACTGTACGCTACTACACTTATTATATCCCAAGAAAAAAGCACTAGAGTTAATACACATTTGTTGCATCAAACTTGCTCTGCATTACAGAGAAATATTAAACACTTGCAATGCCTCCTTGAATGATCCTAAGGGAATATCAAAACACGTATGAAGAAAAGTGACAGTCAACAGCACCGTATGAAGGCCAGTCAACACCGACATCATTTATTTTCCAGTGTCTGGTGACACCAGGGAAGCCAAAACTCCTCCTGCAGCCGCGTGCGAGGACCACATTATCTGCAATCACAGTTTACAGTCTTTTTTATTCATCTCCACCTCAACACAGATGCACTAACAAACAACCGCCAAAGCCGAGGCAAAGCGCCACTGCCAGCAATTCCGGGCCCAGAGCAGTGACATAGGTGCGGTGGTTTTCGTTGACATGTACATGTTCCGCTGTGGGCTTTATGAAATGCAAAAATGTCTGGGTGGTCTGGAGGACAGAGTGGAACTTGTAACGCTGTCTGCGCATTCTAAAAGTGTCTGTGTTGCATGAGCAGCGAGAGGAGTCAGTTCTTGGCACGCGGAGAGGGTATTTCTGATGCGTAATTAGCATCAAGAAGCACTCAAAAAATCTGCGATGCTAGCACCAGTATCAACACAGACCTCACGAGTCATACAAAATGTGCATGAAAATAATTCCCGGCTCTTCCAGACCCAGACATATTTGCATTCGATAGGATTGCTCCGTGTGGTCCGGCGTCCGAGAAAAGCAACACGATGTTGTGAGCAAAAATGCCCCCTCCCCATATCAAAACAAAATTTCTGATGCTGATTTGCGTACACAGATCAGGTCTGTCTTGCAGTAGAGGACTGCAGGCCCATATCATGCCACTGTAGAAAGGTTTTGGCCTAGGCACTTAGCATGAGGAACGTCTATGCTGTAGGCCGAACAGCATTACAAACCGCCTGTATAATGGGGCGAAGCTAATTGTGTACACAAATCCCCGCGGTCTTGCTGGAGAGCACTGCAGGCCCGTACCAAGTCCGAATAGAGGGTCTTTGGCCTAGTCGCTTAGCATGAAAAACGTCCGCGCTGTAGGCCCACCAGCATGGCAAACCGTCGGCACAATGCGGCGCAGCCTGCGGAATTGCCTTCTTGCAAGACAGACGCGGTTTGTGACCACCACAAATCAGCATCACAAATTTCCGAAAATATACCTTTTCAGTATGCGGAAGAGGAGTTTTTCCTTTCGATACACGACGGTGAAAAACGACGTAGCTCCACACCACAACGAAGACTGCAACCACCGCCAGGAAATACGCACAAAGCCGCCTTTATCGAATGCAAAAATGTCTGGGTCTGGAAGATTGCTAGGTTTGTCGTGCAGGTTTTGCATGACCCGTGATGTCTGTGATGTATGCTCCAGCATCACAATTTTTTTGCGGGCATCTTGATGCCTATCCCGCACGAGAAATCCCCTCTCCGCGGAGCAAAAACTGGACGCCTCTTGCTGCTCATGCAATACAGATTTTTTTGGATTCCAAAAGTAGCATCACAAGTTGCATTCTTCCAGACCCAGACACTTTTGCAATCCATATCGTTGTAGCAGCTTGATCGGGGTCCGTGCCAGTGAACGAGTTGGGGAACCGCAGCAGCAGCATATCAAAATGAAAAAACCCCCCACCACATATCAAAATGGAAATTTCTGATGCTGATTTGCGTACACAAATCCCACTTGTCTTGCAGTAAGGCACTGCGGCCAGATCCGCAGCCTAGGTGGGAGCGCTCCGGTGTAGCTGTTCAGCATTGCAAACGGCTACCCTCTAGGACCAACGGCATGCCAAATCGCTTCCACAATTGGGCAGATGCCTCTGCACTTGTCTTCTTGCAAGACAGACCTGATTTGTGGCCACAAATCAGCAACGCAAATTTTCGGAAACATACCTTTTCAATATGGGGAGGGGGGATTTTTCCTGTCAATACAGCAACGAAGTTACCAAGAGAAGCAGAGACATATGCAGATAGCGATAATAGGTCCGTTCGTTGGAGAGATAAGATTTGGGATCCACGCTGATTGCAGTGCGACTGGGAGAAGTTGTTGTGCAGCTGCTCCCTGCCGCGGCGATGGGGCGGTGCGGCGATGCAGCGGACATTTTTTGCGAGCGAGGCGTTTAGGGTCCGCCCACTGCACTTTCTCCTCGCAGGGTGCCCACTTCCGAAGCAAAGAGGCGTTGCAAAGAACTTTTACAGCATCAAAAGGAAAAATCCATATTTTCCTTGCAGCTGCCCCATATCCTATTTTGTGCCACTGTAACAGTCCCGGACAACATCAAATGCGCTTTTGTTGCACTGCTGCGCAGGAGGACCACCACTACCACATCAGCACGACAATCACAACAAAATAATCAGAACGGAAATTATTATATTCAACTCGGCAAAATGAAATAATTGTATCATCACGACTTTATTTAGATGAAGCGAACACTTTGGGCGGGGGAGACATGCCTTTTCTTTTCTTGGAAGTTTGTGCATAGTACTCTTTCATCATCGTAGTGGAGGAGGTTTCTACTTCCTCTTGGACGACCTATAAGTGGATAAGTAGCAAGAAGATTCCTGTTGATGCTGTTACGCCTCGTCCCGGTTCATCTTGTAGCTATACCTCCAGTTGACGTTGTAGCCGGGCTAGCAGTATCAAGTGCAAAAATACCTTAGTCTGGAAGATTGCCAGGTCTGTCATGCATATTCTGCATAACCCATGATGCCTGTGATGCATGACCTAGCATCGACATAGATTTTTCAAGGGCCTTCTGATGCGTATTCCGCATGAGAAACGCCCACTCCGCGTAGCACAAACTCAACTCCTCTTGCTGGTCATGCAATACAGATTTTTTTTACCTTCCAAAGACAGCATCACAAGTTGCAACCTTCCACACCCAGACACTTTTGCATTTGATAGATAAGCAGCTCCAGAGTGCTGGCCGCGTGGTCTCCAGACCTCCACCGCGCTTCGTCGACTATACCACCAGGTCGCACCGCCGATGCGCTTCATACTGCTCCAGGACCGCCGCACATATTGTATCATTCAAAAAGCTTTGCGTGTGGCCGACGGTGGACGGCTCCTCCGCATTCAGAGTGATGAACGGCGGGGTGGCGTACCAAGTTGCCGCCGCCCGGAAATTATGCATTGCAAAAATGTCTGGATCTGGAAGGATGTACCTTGTGATGCGCATTTCAGAAGACAGAAAAATCTGTCATGCATAGATAGCAAAAGCTGCCCACTTTCTGTCACCAAACTGGGGGACTTGTCATGCGGATTTAACATGGCGAAAGCTTCTCGAAACCTGTGATGCTAGAGCTTCCATGCCAGACCTTCTGTGTCATGCAAAAATAGCATGACTCTTCCAGACCCAGACATTTTTGCATTTGATAGAAATCTTCTATCATACTTCCGGTCCCGCTGCTTCCCTCGAGCTGGATGACGTGAGGTGGCCGTCGTTGCAGTATCAAAAGGAAAAATCCCCCCGCCCCATATCGCAAAGGGAATCTGTGGCGCTGGATTTGCGTAGACAAATCAGATTTGTCTTGCCGTAGAGGACTGCACGCAGGTCGCCAACCTAGTTCGGGGCCTTTTGGTGTAGGCGCCTAGCATGGTAGACGGCTGGTGTCCTGTAGTCCTTACGGCATTACAAATCGCCCGCATAGAGTGGCAGAGAGCCTGGATTTGCCTTCTCGCAAGCCAGACAGGATTTGTGGTCACAAATCTGCATCACAAATTTTCGGAAGCATACGTTTTCGATATGGGGAGGGGGGATTTTTCGTCTCAGTATGCAGGTCGACGTGAGGACCACATTCTATCAAAGTGAAAAAAGCCCCCTCCCCGTATCGAAAGCGAAACTGGTGATGCTGTATCTGAATACCCAAATCAAATCTGTGCTGCAGTAGAGCACTCAACGCAGATTGCAAGCCTAGGGAGGGGCCTTTTGGTGCACGCGCCTAGCATGGTAGACGGCTGGGCCCGTGTAGGCCTTACAGCATTACAAATCGCCTGCATAACGTGGCGGACAGCCTGAACTTGCCTTCTTGCAAGACAGACGCGATTTGTGGTCAGAAATCTGCATCACAAATTCTCAAACGGATGCGCTTTCAACATGGGGAAGGGAGATTTTTCCGCTCAATATGCTGTTGTTGTTGTTCACGACCAGTACCATCCCCTGGGACTGCGGCCGCTCGTGTAAGAACACCTTTATTCATCTCGCCCCTGCTTGTTTTCGCTTCCTCGTAGTGTTTCACCTGGTGCACCAAGGCCATGCGGGGGATCACGTGCGGCGGAAACTGGTTCCCGTTGGTGTGGTAGTTGGTCAAGTTAAAGTTTAGGTGAGTGCTATCATTTGTAAAAACGTCTCCACACCAGAGTCAGGATGGGGATTTTGCAACACAAACCTAGGAGCTTTGCGAGTCACGCATGACAAGTTGCACTATGCAGTGTAGTGCAGGTTAGCAAGTGCAGCCGCATCACAGATTCATCTGCTCATCCTGTTCACAGCATCACAAATTCCAAAACACGAGTGGAAATGGCTCTTATGGAAATGCGCATTACAAGTCTTCCTCTCTTTGCAAATCTGCATTACAAGTCTGGTGTGGGTACGTTTTTACTCAGGATAAATGTGGGCGGTCCGGATTTGCTCAAACGCGTTTTCCAGTCCGTGCTCCAGCAAGGACTTGAGGACGTGCCGCAGCTCGCGCTCGTGGTTCTCGCGTCTACGGGAAAACCGCGGACTCAGGTACTCCGCAAGGTCGGTGGGACACACAGGGTGGTTCCGTGACGTGAGTGGCGAGTTGATCGGCGACAAGAATTTGCCGAGCAGGGGACAGTACTCGACCGGATTGAAGGCCAGGAGACAGTCGTCCGACGTGAAGCCGCCGACTCCCAGGGTCGCAATGCGCGCATGCGGCTGGCACTCGTAGCGGAGTTGTTCTAGGTCTCGATCTAGAACCTGATCCACGCCGGTCCTGCTGACCAAGTACGCGAAGGCCCCCCAATATCTTGTTTTCCGCATGTACTTCTTTTTCGGGTGTGGTGCTGGTGGTCCCCCTCCCCCTGCACGCATATTGAGGTCGGGCTGCAGCTCCTGGCTCGGCCGCCCTCCCTGCCGTTGAGGCTTTAGTTGTACCGCCGCGCCGTCAAGTTGTAGAACAGCGTCCCCATCTCGCTCTCCACCGCGTACCTGTCTGCCAACCGTGTCCGGAAACACGGGGACAGCGGGGTCCGGATCGTCGGTCTTGTAGTTATCCTTTACAAGCGTTAGGCCCACTTGAACGACGCCCCAGTCGGGCGGTAGGGAGGCCACAAACTGGTCTAGATCTTGCTCCCAGAAGGGCAAAAGCCCGAAACTCACGTCGTCTTCTAGTATCAAAGCGGCTTGTATATCCCCCCGGCCTCCTGGAACGCCGCTTGAGAAGAGCTCGCGCGCGCGGCGAAGGGCCTTCAGATGGCTCGCTATCACGGCGAAACTACGCAGACTTTCTTTTTGCCGCGGCAAGTCTTCCGAATCGTCCAGGATCTTCAGCAAGCTAGCCGCGAACGCAGCGCCCACATACCGCTGGTGCGGCTGCGAAACCCCCTCCCGCGCGTTGCGTCCCGGGTCCGCTCGCGCCCTGGCTGGATCGACGCCATAGTTGAGTCGGTCATTAAAATCGGCTAGAATATCGGCAAACTTTTCCGCGTCGTCCATTTTCACGAGTTGCTGCCGCAAGTACGTCAGCGTGAGTGCGGGCACACGCTCAACATAATCAAATAGCTTGCCGAGCGTCTGGTTCATCCTCTGCCCGCGCTGAAGATCGCGGTCAAGGTTGATGTACAGCACAGGCGTCTTCATTTTCTCTCGCCGATTTTTACTGCTCGCTGAGGTTTGGCTTTCATCTTCCTTCAACAGCGCCCCGGCCTCTAAATCAGCTAAAGAAAGCTTTCGCGCAGAAGCGTCTTCCTGTATGCCGCCTCTTGCACCGACTGCGCCGCCATCTTCACTTGGAGCTGCACCGGCAGGCTTCTTTTTCGTCATCTCCCGGCTCGTCCCTTGTTTCGTCGCTCGGGGAGAGGGGCACACGGGATACAAGTCTTGCTGTGGTAGGTCGTGGTCCTGCAAAGACTTTTTCCCGGTCGGTCTTTATCAAATGCAAAAGTGTCTGGGTCTGGAATGTTGCCGGGTTTGTCATGCATATCTTGCATGACCCAGGATTGTTTGTGATGTATGCCCTACCGTCACAGATTTTCAGAACCCTTCCTGATGCCTATTCCGCATGACAAATGCCCTCCCCGCGTCGCACAAACTAGGCTTTTCCATGCTGATCATGCAATACAGATTTTTTTAGAGTCCAAAGTTAGCATCAGAAGTTCCAACTTTCCAGAGCCAGACATTTTTGCAATCCATATTGTTGTAGCAAGCGCAATTCCACGCTGCGCTTCAACGGCTCCTGTGGTCGACCTCCTCGAGGTGTCTGGCTGAAGTTGGCACCGCTTCGAAAGTGCGACGCGTTCGTCGCACATGTCCGACAGGTATCAAATGCAAATATCGATCTGGGCCTATTTTTGCATGTTTCTCATTTCTGAAAAATCTGTATTGCATAAGCAACAAATAAAGCACCACACAACTTTCGTCATGCAAAAACGCAGTATGTAATGCGTTCCGCGCATGAGAAAGCGTTCGAAAGAACATTTGTCATGCTGCACTGCACTTACAGGCACAGTGACAGTCAATCATGACCATTCGGCATTACAAGTTTCCAGACATCCAGGTATATTTGCAATCCATAACAGGTCGAGGCAGCTGTTCCTAGGGTCGGCGGCGCGTGGTAGCGATGACGCCAGCAATATACGGAGGAAAAACGTCCCCACCCCAGAGTCAAGCTGGGGATTTTGCAACACAAACCTGGAGGCTTTGGCTGTTTCGTTTGACAAATTTGGACTCGTAGTGTAGTGCTGTTTGAGGTAGTTTTGAAGACGCATCACAAATCGACTACCTCATCGTGATTCCACCATCACATTATACTTCCAGATAGCACCATTTAATGCTATCTGGAAGTTTCATGTGGCTGCGCATCATCATCATCATCATCATCATCATGTAGTGGACACCCGCTCCCAGCGCCACAGGTCAAGGATCCCCTCCCCGGGGGGTGGGCGAGGAAGCACTTTCGGCAACCTCATCATACAAAAGCCGAGCGCTACCACGGCAAGTCGCCCCAAGAAAAGTGCCAACCAGTCGGGAGCTACCCACCACACCTGATCAGTATAGCCCGGCCACCTAGCCGAGCGCGACAGCCGAACATACAGAACGATCCAGGACCCGACCCATTTTACGCCATACGTTTTTGTTCTCACGGAAGAGACGGCGTACCCCTTTGGGTTAAGGGGCGAGACTCTCCCCTAACCCGCAACCCCGCCCGGACAGGGGAGGCTGGACCATTTGTGCCTTACCTGCGCATGAGAAACATTTTAGGCATGCCACTTTGCATGACAATTCTGAGGTGGGGACGTTTTTGCAAATAATAAGCACCCTGGTCGTGACAAGAACTCGCGTGGTAAAATATCCTGTGTAAAAACGTCCCCAACCCGAGAGTTGTCATGCAGATTTGCCATGACAGGAACATTTGTGATGCGCAACCCCATGACAGGGATTTTCAATCGTGTTTGGGAACTTGTAATGCTGTAAACAGGATCAGTAGATCGATTTGTGGTGCGGCTTTCCTTGCTAACTTGCACTACCTTACCGACTAAAACTTGTCATGCGTGACTCCCAAAACTCCTAGGTTTGTGTTGCAAAGTCCCCATCTTGACTCTGGTGTGGGGACGTTTTCAATCAGGATATAAAAACGGATGCGAGCATAATGAGGCAGACGAGGTGTAGTTGATAACAAGATCGCCGCCGCACACCACCGAGAAGATGGCAAGATCTCCTGCTGGCAGTTCGGGTCATATTCAAAAACAGCGAGCCGAATTTAAAAATGCATAATTGCGGGAAAAATAAATGAGAACAAGTCATAGTGGTCAACCTCGATACAAGTACAAAGCCAAAAAATATTAAATGCTCGATACTCGATAATTTTTTTGGCACTACTACAAGTGTCAATAGCAAACATCACTTGTAAAAAATAAAACACAAGAGCCAACAAGTTGTATTCGGATCACTTACCACAGTTCGTTCAAAAGTAGATCGCGAGATGAAAATATCGATCCATTGACTGGATTGAAAAGAAAAGACTTCAGTTATCCAAGGAAAAAACTGTGTTAGTGTAACTTCCTTGGGCTGACAGCATCACAGATTTGCTCTACATGATACAGAGAACCTGTCATGCGTGGCTTGTAACGGAAAACACACTACGAATTTACTTTGATACTTACATCATGTCTGCGAATTTACTTTTTTCTATTTTTTTAAAAAAAAAACACTTTTTTGGTGCACGCATCCTGTTTTCTGACGCGTTATCTGTCAACTGTGCATAGCAGATTTGTTGCGGAGGAGTTTCGTTGAATGAAAAAACAAACTTTCCCAGGACCTAGCTGGAATTGTCGCGCTTATAGAAGCTCGCGGTAGGCGACTGTCAAAAATCGAACCGCTCCGAATGCTCTCGCTTGCTCCAACACTATCACAGAGTCGAAAAAGAAGAAAAAACGCAAAACAGTGTTGATGTGACTCGGTGGGAATTTTCTCGTTTGCTCTGTGGTAATGTATGCGTGTCCGGGTCGTGGTAATCAAATGATCAAGTTGGAAAATAAATTGTGATGCGATGCATACGCTCCGTACTTTGATATTTAGCCAGAATTTCTTTTAGAACAACACCGAGCTGCTCTTTGCGGCAAAAATAAGGAAAATAAATACGTTTACGTCTTTAGTTTATTTGCTTTTATTCGTAACTCGACTAAGATGAAATGATCGAATCATAACATGAAGCTTTGAATTTATCATTTCTGTGTAGATGAGAGTCCTCTCCAGTGATGTGTTTTTTGTGTAGAAGTTTGTTTAAGTGCAAAGCAGCTTGTAATAGGGAGAATATTCCGCAACCACGAAGTGCCGATGGGGGTGTTGGTAAACCATTACGGTTCCCTTGTACGATTGCCTCGGAGTGCCCCCCCATCCAACTCCGATCATGTGGAACCGCTCCCGCATGTAGTTCCACCCTTCCGCATCCGTATCGTCCAGACAGTTAGCCAGGCAGTGCACCTTCGCATTCGCCGCAATGGTCTGGCGGCGTTCTTGCAAAGTGAAGCCCCCGCCTCCGAGCTGCGTGGTCGGCGGCCGCTGTGCGCCGCGTTGGAATTCTATTCCGGGAACCCCCTCCGGAACTGCAGGTAGCTTCCCCGAAGAGGAGACCACGTGCTGAAGTCCTAGAAGCGCCTTCTCCAACACGTGGCGCTCGTAGTTCCAAGCCAACAAGGTAGCTGCATTTGGCCATTGTGGCTGGATGGAATCTTATCGCAAGGAAAAAGTGTCACAATTATATATATTATATAAGGCAAACTTTGGGGCCGGAGAGGGTAGGGTAGAGGTTGGGGAGAGGTTCGGGAGAGGTAAAATAGAGGGTCGGAGAGGTAAGATAGAGGGTCGGGCAAAATAAGAGGGTCGGGGAGAGGTAAAACGAGAGGAAAAGTAGAGGTAAGGGAGAGGGTGCGTAGTATGCACGGCCTTAAAGCGCGGCTATACGCGCGCAGAGGGTGGGTAGAGGTTGGACAGAGGTAAAATAGAGGGTAGGGGAAGAGGGTGTAGAGGGTCGGAGAGGGTGCGTAGTATAGGGCGACCCTCTAGGCGACCCTCTACCTCAAACCTCTCCGGAAACCTCTACTTTACCTCTCGCCGGACCCTCTCGGGACCTCTCCGACCCTCTCCCGGACCCTCTCCGGGACCCTCTCCGACCCTCTCTGAACCTCTCCCGGACCCTCTCCCGGACCCTCTCCGGGACCCTCTCGCGGACCACCTCCAGGAGCACAGCCTGCCCTCTTGTCTGCGCGCGGCGCCCCCTATAGAAGCTCGTTAGGGCGCAGCGGCCGGCTGGCATTGTTTTCGCTTTCAGATCAGAGCGGCCGTTCAAAGTGCGTGCGCCGCTCTGCGTCCCCCAGAGGGGGCGCGGCGCCCCGTATTAACCTGGTCGGCCACCTAGGGTGGCCGCAACTTCTTTCCCACCGCGCGCGCGCGCGCTGGCAGCAGGTGCGTCGCCCTTGTGGCTTCTTCAACGTTGGCGCCCGGAAGTAGTTTCCTGTGTGCATTTCCCAACGGCGCGCAGCTACAAAGGCCGGGCATGGTGCCCGCCCATGCCGAAACATTGGCCGGGCTTTTTTCATTACTTTGGTTGTGTAGCGGCGCGCAGCGATTCATTGCTGGCGCCACCTTCCCCACCGGAACACCTCCACCGAGCAGCCCCCTCCCCGGCGGCCTTCGCCGGGGGGTGGCTGGTTAGACATTATGTTGCAGGAGCCGCAAGACAGACAACCTTTGTCATGCAGAAAATGCTTGCGAACCTCGTTTCCTATGAATTTTCCCTTATGATCTTTGCATTACAAGTTTTCTCTCCCACACAGAGAAAATTTGTGATGCAGAAACTCCAACAAGTGTGTGACTGTAACACTTTTTTCTCGCGATAAATCCGGCCAGAATCCTAGAGACTCCAACCGTTTATACTCGGCTTTTGTGCCGGAAATGTGGGTGTTGGTGCTCAAATGCCTGGTCAATGCCACAGACGGATATAGAAAGCAGAGCCGTTCCTTGTGCGAAGGTCCCCCGGACTGCTCGTCGGCGGAGAAGAATCGGTACGTGCTTGACTTCGGGACAAACGCGTCGAAAGCCAAGTCTTCGAATATCGTAGGGAAAAATCCCCCCTCCCCATATCGAAAAGGAACGCCTCCAAAAATTTGCGATGCTGATTTGTGACCACAAATCGTGTCTGTCTTGCAAGAAAGCAACGGCATCCGCTCCGCCCCATTATGCAGGCGGTTTGTAATGCTGTTGGTCCTACAGCATAGGCGTTCCCCATGCTAAGTGCCTAGGCCAAAACCTCTGCGCACTGGCATGATATCGGCCTGCAGTCCCCTACTGCAAGACAAATCTGATTTGTGTACACAAATCTAGCATCTTCAGAAGTTTCCTTTTGAAATGGGGAGGGGGGATTTTTCCTCTCGATATCGAAGTACAGTGCTGCGGTTCGGCTGCTCGCTGCACTGCCTTGGCTGCTCGCCTTAACCAAAATCCCATATGCAAGAAAAAAACTATGTTATTGTAGTAAGTCTTTTTTGGGAAAGCAGCATCACAAGTTTGTCTGCCATGACAGGGTGGAAAACCTGTCATGCGTGGCTTGTAAGGGAAAGCACACATGGAAAGAGGACTTCATGGTTGTCCGGCATGACAGGTGTAAACTCTCTTGCATGTTCTGCATTACAGAGTCATTACACTTACACAGTTTTTTTCTTGCATATCCCACCCTTGCTATTCACTCCGTGCGCGCCGCGAAAGTTTTCTTCTCCTTGCTCCGCTTCAGTTGATGTCCTTGCACCCAGTAGCGAAGCGGACCTCAACATTTGCTGTGGTGCACCTCCCTCCTGTCCGATTTTGTTCGTCGGCCGCGGCGAAACCATCATCTTGTCCGTGTCAAAGGATAAAATGGTGTCCCACCCGAGGTGTCCGCGGTCTGGCCGCATCCAGGGCATCATGTACCCGAGAAAAACGGACCGACTTGTCATCCAACCCAGTCCGCCGAAGTGATTCTGGCGGAGAATGTCGAGAGTGGGGGCCTTCTCGACCTGATTATCGTGCCAGGCGCTGGCCCCCGCCAACGTGTCATCCAGGTCCATCACCGAAGAGCTAAGCAAGAAGAATTGGTGCAGGTACTGCGAAAGCCCCAAATCGTCCTCTAGCACGGCCGCGTACTCGTATTGGCTAAACAAAATCCCAAACATCCACATGAAGAAATTGGTCACGCGAAAGTGCTGCTGCTGAAACGGAGTCACTGCCGGGGGGATGTCTGGGTGGCCCCACATGGCTATCAGAATGAAAAATCCCCCCTCCCCATATTGAAGCGGAGACTTCTGTTGCCGAATTTGCGCGCACAAATTAGTGCTGTCTTGCTGGCGAGGACACAAGGCCCATATCAAGCCTGAGAAGACAGGTTTTGGCCTAGGTTCTTAGCATGGCAGACGTCTACGCTGTAGGAGTATGAGCATGACAGCCCGCTTGTAGAATGCGGCGGCGCCTGTGGAGTTGCCTTCATGCAATACGGAGACGATACGCGGTCACAAATCAGCAACACAAATTTTCGAAAACGTACCTGGTCATGATGGGGAGTGGGGATGTTTCCTTTTGATAATGGCCGGGTGAGTATTGGGAGCGTCCTGCAGCACCGCGTAGTACCCGTTTTCCTTGCCATATCACGAGAAAAAAATGTTACAGTTACACATTTGTTGGAGTTTCTGCATCACAAATTTTTTCTGTGTGGCAGAGAAAACTTGTGATGCGAAGATCATATTAAGGGAAAACAGGAAGGAAACGAGGCTCCCAAGCATGTCCTGCATGACAAAGGCTGTCTGTGTTGCCGGCCTTGCATAGACTATGTGTGTAACTGTAACCCTTTTTTTCCACCACGATATGCCGTTCCAAAACCGCTGGTTGAAGACAGGAAAAGCCGACTTGTGGTCCAGGTTCGGCATCGCGCGAATTATCGAAAAGCCGGTATTATCCTGCTCCTGATCTTTGATGTGTGCTAGTCCTGTAGTCCGCGCGGTAGAAGAGGACGTAATTCCTGTGCCAGCGGCGCTTTTTTCCAAAAAACTTTTTTTTTTTGCGACATAAGGATCGCCCGTCGCGGTTAGCAGATAGCTTGCTGGAGGCGAAAATCGATTGCGTGGCGACAGCTTCTGCCAAGGTCTTCTGAGCTCGGTAGCCTGGAGGCAGGAAGATGGCCGCATTGGTGGCGCACGGCGCCACGGCTGTGGGTCCGTCATGGCCGGCGCAGATGTCGAACAGCCAGCCCCTGCAGTGCTGCCGGTTTAATGACAGCGATACGCGGCCAGCCCAAAGCCGGAGGCGCTGTCGGCTGGAGCCAACAAAAGGCCCACGCCCTAACAGGCGAAACAGACGCCCGCGCGTAGCTTTTGAACAATTCAAAGCCATGCGCCGCATTGCCGATGACATTGATGCCGCGGCCGCGGCGCTCTTCCGGCCCTGGATCTCCGGGGGCGTTTCTTCGCCCCGGCTGTTTTGCACGGAGGCCAGCAGAGCTCCCTCCTGGGCTGAAAGCCGAAATCCTCTTGGGGTGCCCCCGAGGGGTCCTCCAAACCCCCCCTCCTTTGGGGCCTTTTAAGAGAGTTACTCCCCATAGGTATCTCCACGAAAGGGGGTCCCCCAAACCCCCCCCCCTCAAGGGGGGGCCCGACCCCGCTTTTCGTTTGCGCAAGTTCGCAGATTTTGATAAAATATGTCTTGAACAGTGACCGCGCGAATTCGGCCAAGACGGAGACTTGCACAGCCTGGCGGGGAATAAATTCAAGGGCGCCGAAGGTGTCCGCGTGCTCTGTATTTGCCTCTTGGGGCACTTCCAAAGCCAGGACGGGACATGTCTCGAGGCGGTGCGCGTTTCAGACCGCCGCTTCTAGGCGAACCCGTCAGAATGTCGCTGACTTATCCCGAAGGCCCTGCCCATACACCAAAGTCGTGGCCGAGGCCTTGCGTGTTATGTACCACGAGGCCACAGCGCCAAGGACTGAATCCATGGCCGCGGCTGCTCCTGAGGCCACTTTTCTCCTGGCTTTCGGGTAGCTAGCCAAGTACCAAGCGGAATCTCTACGCCTATGCAGATCTATTCTGCGCTTGCCCGCTTGTATGCCTTTGAAGTGCCGTAAAATCATATGTGGCGAAAAAAGAAAGTTTTTTTGAAAAAAGTCTTTGCCGCTGCCATAGCGGTAGAAGAGGACGTAATTCCTGTGCCAGCGGCACCGTGGTCTCCAGCACCGTAGCTGGACGGCAAGACGACATCGCCCTGCGTCGCGAGCCGCGTCGCCACAGAGATGTATCCTGAGTAAAATAAACGTGCCCAACCCCACCCCAGAGTTGTCATGCAAAAACGCATGCCCAAAATGTTTCTCATGCGGAGCAGCCCCATGACAGGCATTTTCTAGTAGTGTTTTGGAATTATTGTAATGCTCCAATCAGCATTGTAGGCTAGATTTGTGATGCTTCTGAGCGAGGTACTAAACAGGATTACAGTACGAGGCCGAACTTGTCATGCGCGACACCCTAAGCGTGTAGATTTGTCTAGCAAATTTCCCATCTTGACTATGGGGTGTCGTCGGCCCCGTTTCTACTCAGGATAAGATGACCGGATCCATCATCTGCTGCCGCTGTCCTGCCTGCTTTCCCGGTGCAGCTCTCCTGTCCTCTCCTTGTTCCTGCCCCTGCTTATTCAGGCGGAGCAGAGCTGCTGCCGCCCCGGCGTCGGGGGCCACCGTCGTGGTGCTCCGCCACTCTCGACCATGCGGCGGCAGGGGTTCGGCGCGAATCCAGGCGTCTGCTCCCGCTGGGTGCGTGGGTAGCTCGGAGACGACACTCAGTCCGCTCGCCGTGGCTGCATGTAGTTCTTCTCGCTGATCCGCGGTGGAAGTTATAAAATGCAAAAATGTCTGGGTCTGGAAACTTGTAGTGCTAAAAGTGAATGATAGACGCGCCGCAATACGCAGCTATGCATGACAAATTTTGTGGCTGCCATGTCTTACGTATTCCGCATGGCAAACTGCCTTTTCGCATGACAGTCAAGAGGGCTCTTTCGTGCCTATGCAACACAGATTCCCGAGTCATGCCAGACACGCATTACAAAGTTGTATTCTTCCAGACCCAGACATTTTTGCATTTGAAAAAAGTAGAATGGAGGCTCGCTCCCTCGCTCGCGTCGTTGGCGCCGCCACTTTTTCTATCGTCAACTTTGTTCTGCTATTGCAAGGAAAAATCCCCCCTCCCCATATCAAAACGAAACTTCTTATGCTGGATTTGTGTACACGAATCGCCTTTGTATTGCAGGAAGGCATTGCGGCCAGATCCCCAGGCTAGGCAGGGGCGTATGGGTCTAGTTGTTCAGCATGGCAAACGGCTCCGCTTTAAGTCCGACAGCATGACAAATCGCTTCCATGATGGGGCCGAAGCTTCTGCCTTTGTCGTCTTGCAAGACACATGTGATTTGTGACCTCAAATCAGCAACACAAATTTTCGGAAACATAGCTTTTCAATATGGAAAAGGGGGGATTTTTCATTTTGATATCTGCTCACCTCCAGCACCAGCCCGCGTTCCGCTATTCATCTCCTCCTTGGGCTCGACCGAATTCTGCTTTCGCTTTAATTGGATTATACCCGCCGCCGCTCCACCCCCTGCTCGTCCCGCCTCTGATGTACTACTACTAGCAGTAATTGCACCGCCAGCAGCACCTCCAGGAGCTCCGCAGTGGCGCAGATCCTTGTGCTCGTAGTAGCCACGGATAGCGTCCTGCTTGGTGATGGGTTGCATCTTGCTCCTCCACGCCGTCATGTGCTGGAATTGCGCCAGGCTTGCGAGCTCCGTGTCTGTCCAAAATTGTGCGACCCGGGCGCTGTTGGCGAACAGCTCGCAGTCTTCCTGTGTCGTCTTGCCGTAGATAGCCGAAGGCCCGCACATCGTCAGCATTACCTGGATGTCCTCGGCCGGGACCCCCATTTTTCCGAGACTTCGAAGCTTATGCATTGCAAACATGCCTGGGTCTGGAAGAGTGGAACTTGTCATGCAAAATCTTAACCATGCAAAAATCTGTGTTGCGTGATTACTAAAGTCGTCTACTAGTTTTGGCCAAGTCGGGAGGGAGTTTCTCATGCAGGATAGGCATCATACAGATCGCACAGAATCTGTCATGCTAGGTCCTGCATTCCAGACCTCATGGGTCATGGAAAAGCTGCATGACAAATCGCGCACTCTTCCAGACATCCAGGGATATTTGCACTCGATAAAGCTGGTCTGCGATCTGCGGGAACCGATTACACCCGGTCAAAATCCCGTACCCGATTTATCACAGTGATAAATGCACCCACCCCTGCACTTGGCAGCATTTGTATTGCAAACCATTCCAATGGAAACATTCCCCGTCTTGCTATATCAGCACGACAAATAATTTCCCATCCTGAATAGCTCACATTTGTGTTGCAAAGGAGCCCAATAACAGCCGGATCTGTGATGCAAAAGCTACCTTGCGCAGTCTAGGTTCTGCATATCAGAAAGGCTCGTAGTCCTTTCATGCAAGACAAAAAGCTTTCATTTGGAAACTTTGCATGAGAAACTTTATTTTCAAATTCCAGGGTGAGGGCATTTTTAATTGTAATATGATTCGTCGGCCTTCCGGAGGCTCGATATTCTCTAATGGGCGGTCGGCTCCTGCTCCTGCTGCACCCGCCGCCCCTCGCAAACTTCCGTCAACTTGTGCGGCCCGCCAAAAATAGGCGCCCGGAGCTGCGTAGTCAAAGATGAAGACGTTGAAAATCCAGCCACTGAACCGCACAGCAACGAGGAGGCACAAGGCCAGGCAAAGGCCGTAAGACACAACCAACCGGAGGGCGCGAGGGGTCATCAAAGGGAGCGCGTTTGTCGGAGGACACCACGTGGAAGACTTTCTGGCTTCGACGTCGAGAGAGTCCCCGTCGTCCCGGGGGTGTGATTTCGTCGCGCTACAACCTTGACTGTCAGCACGCCTGAGGCCGTATGAAATGTAAAAATGTCTGGGTCTGGAAAAATGCAACTTGTGATGCTGCATTTGGATTCCACAAGAATCTGCATTGCATGAGTACCAAAAGGAATGTTCTTTTTGCTACGCGGAGAGGGCATTTGTCATGCGGAATATGCATCAAGAAGCTCTCAAAAAGGCTGTGATGCTAGGGCATGCATCACAGACATCAGGGCTCATGCAAAACGTGCATGACAAGTGTCAGAATCGTCCAGACCCAGACATTTTTACAGTTGATAGGCCGCCGCTGCTTGTTCCACCGCGTCGCTTCGCATCTGCGCCGCCGCGTCCGTCCAGATCCTCGTCGTCAGAGTCAAGCTGGATGTCCACATAGTCGTGACCAACTTGCGCAGTGCTGCCAGAGCATGCCGGCGCGGTGCCTGACGCTGCTGGCGGAACTATCGTTTGTAAAAACGTCCCCGCACCAGAGTCAAGATGCGTAATCTGCTAGACAAATCAGCCAGCTTTGGTCGTTTGGCATGACAAATTTGTCCTCGTAGTGTAACCCTGTCTAGGTAGTTCAGCAGCATCACAGATCTAGTATATCATGCTCATTATAGCATCACAAATTCCAAAACACGACTAGAGAATGCCTCTCATGGCGCTCCGCATGACAAGCTTTTTTGGCATGCAGATTTGCATGACAACTCTGGGGTGGGGATGTTTTTACTCAGGATAGGAACGATCACGCCGAAATCGTCCATCTGCTAGAAGTATGGATTGCAAAAAAAATGTCTGGGTCTGGAAGATTCTTACATTTGTTTTTGTCATGCATGTCTGACATGACTCGAGAATCTGTAATGCATGGGCACGAAATAAAGGCTCTCCTATTTGTCATGTAAAAACGTTGTTTCTCATGCGGAAAAATACGCAATACATAGCAGTTCAAAAATTTGTCATGCTTGGCTGCGTATTGCAGTCCGGCTATCATCCACTTTTAGATTTAAATGGAAGCAGAAACTAATCGTAGGGAACATTTGCAAACGCTGCCGGCTTGGGAATCTTGAAGAGTGTTACCACATAAGCTTATGACTTTCCCAGCAATCTTTACGTCGCATACATTTCGGGCTCTGGATGGAATTTTTTACAAAGGCAAAAGTGAAAAAGACGTCCATCCAACCCGATCTAAAATGCATCTTTACACCTGCTTTCCTGTTGTAGTTCTGGCAAAGAAGTTTATATGGAAGCTTTTTTCTGGATTTGTATTGCTCTCTTTACACAGCTTGAAACAACCACAGGAAAATAGGTACAGAAAAATCTTTCAAAAAATGCATGTCGTCTTGCAAAAATAAAAAACAATTAGAAATGGACGTCTTTTTTTCAAAAGTTGCAAAAAATACTGCATAGCATCGGTCCACGAAAAGCAAAAAATATCCGATCAGCAACAACTACAAACAAATTGTGATCACGAACCGCGAGTAGGAGTAGTAGTAGTTCGGAAATGGAAAATAGAAAAAACGGATTTGGAATTTGACTCGAGGGAGAACGAAAATGAACCGGAAGAAACAACACATGAAAAACCACCTGGCTCCACCTTTACCAACCTTACAGTGGAAGCAGATGGGCCGCATATCGGATAGGCTACAAGATTTTCTTGTGGTTTAGGCTAGCGCTCAAGGCCCGGAAGGAAAAGCTTTTTTCGCGCTGAAGAAGGAAAGATAAAAAACGTTGAAGCACACAATTGGGAATATAGAAGAAGTGTGTTCATACTTGTGTAATTACAAGTTTCCAGACCCAGACATATTAATTTGGTGCAGTTGATAAGAAGTCGTCCATCTGCAGACTTGCCGCAATTCGTTGACGTGGCGTGGCCCGCCGCGAGTATGAATTACATTTGTGCGTAGTTGATGTAGTTCTACTACTAACGGGAAAATAAACTGATATACATGATTGGAGGCTGTGCAAAATAAATTGGACCCCTTCCTCCACTATCAAATGTAAAAATGTCTGGGTCTGGAAGATTCTGAGATTTGTGATGCATATTTTGTATGATCCATGATTCATGTAATGCATGCCCCAGCATCACAGATTTTTTGAGGGCTTCGCGATGCCTATTCCGCATGACAAATGCCCTCTCCGCGTAGCAAAAATTGCATTCCCTTTGCTGCTCATGCAATACAGATTTTTTTGGAATCCAAATTCAGCATCACAAGTTGCATTCTTCCAGACCCAGACATTTTTGCATTTGATATCCACCACGTGACACACGTGGCGGAGAGCTGATCTGTGGATGAATATGAAATGCAAAAATGTCTGGGTCTGGAAGAATTCGCGTTTGTCATGCTTGTCTGGCATGGCTCTTAAATCTGTCATGCACGTTACCCAAGAGCTCCGCGTTTCTGTGATGCAGAAGCGCAGTTTGTCATGCAGAATAGGCAACACCTAGGAGCTCAGAAACTTGTCATGCTGAGCCAGCACTTGTGGCCGCCTCATGATACGCCAACCAGCATCACAAATTTCCAGACCCAGACATTTTTACATTTGATAATGAAACACGCGGTCTGATTTATCCTGAGGAAAAATGTCCCCACCCCAGAGTCGTCATGCACATCTGCATGCTTAAAATGTTTCTCATGCGGAGACCTATGAGACACATTCTATAGCGCTGTTTTGAAATTTGTGATGCTCCAATCAGCATAATAGGCTAGATTTGTGATGAAGATGATGCTCCTGCACTATCTAAAAAATCGCGACTACACTACGAGGGGACAAAACTTCTCGTGCGCAACAGCCAAAGCTTGTCGATTTGTCCTGCAAAATTCCCATCTTGACTCTGGGGCGGGCACGTTTTTACTTAGGATATAGCTCTTCACTACTAGTGACAAAAAGAGTCAGAGAACTGATTATAGGAATGAACTACCGTGTGGTCCTCGTGTGCCAACGAATTTATACAAGGAAGAAGTTCCAGGGGTCTTTGATACCGAATTTCAAGAATCAGGCAAAAGAACACCAGTCTATAGACCAATAAAGGACTTAAAAAGTGGTCTCCGAAGTAGATTCTTCTTATCCTGTGTAGTTGTGAAAGTGGGGCCCCCCGCGCGGCCCCAGAGGACAACTTGTGATGCAAATCTGCCTGCTGCCTGAAATGTTCCGGACGCAGCGCAAGAACTATTAAAGGCATACTGAAAATAAATTTTCGGACGCGCTGGTATAATCTGGGCAATAGGCGTGGGCCTGTAGGCCTAAATTCCGGTGGGTTGGTCGGTTGGTTGGTTGGTTTTGGACAGACGACATTTGATCGAACCCGCTGCATTGTGTGTTGTGTTTTTCTGAGGTTCGTCTACTACTACTGTTGAAGCTGCCTACCTACCCACCCACCAGCTCTCTTTTCGATTGTATTCTCGTGATCGCACCGACCCACCTACCTACCTATTCCTTTCCACCCAGAGGAGATCGGTGGCCACGCCTACCGACCTACCCTCCCACCCATCCGCCTGGTGGGGGGGTGGGGCGAGCATGCGTTGCCTATTGGCCACGCCTACCGACCCACCTGCCTTGGCGCGGGTGAGCCAGCATGCTCTTCCTGCTGGCCACACGCGCCGACCTACCCACCCACCTCCCTTGGCAGGAGTGAGGGCGCGCCGCCCGGTGGCCACGCCTGACGACCCACCCACCCGCCCTCCCGCCTGTCTCGGCGGGGACGGGCGCGCGCGCGTTGCCTGGTGGCCACGCCTGCCGACATACCCACCGACCCACCCACCCGCCTGGGCCAGTGTGGGTGTGTGTTGCCTGCTGGTCGCGCCAGCCGACCTACCCACCCACCCTTTTGCTCTGGCGGGGGTGGCTGGTCCAGCGCGCGTTGCCTGGTGGCCCGGCTTGCTAGCCGACCCGCCCACCCACCTGCCCGGGCAGGGGTGGGGCGGGGCGTGCCGCCCTGTCGCCACGCCCCCCACCGAACCCGCGGGCCTACCGGCCCGCCCACCCACCTGACCTGCCAGAGGGGCGCATGCGCTGCCGGGTGGCCACGCCTGCCGACCTAAAAACCCCATTCCTGGGCCGGGGCGGGTGTGCGCAGCCTGCTGATCGCGCGTGCCGGCCTGCCCAACCACCCGCCGACCCGCCTGACCCGGGGTGCGTGTGCCAGGCAGGCGCGTCGCCTGGTGGCCACACATGCTGACCTACCCACCCACCTTCCTGGGAAAGGGTGCGTGGGCCGGCCTGTTTTGGTTGCTGGCTACGCCTGCCGACCGACCTACCCTCCCTCCCACCTGCCCGAGCAGGGGCGCGCGGGCGTGCGACGCCTGTTGGCCACACGTGCCGGCCTACCGGCCTGTCCGCCTGGGCAGCTGGGCGGGTGCGCGTTGCCCGTTGGCCTCGCCCGCTAGCCCGCCCACCCAGCTCCCTGCCTTTGCGGTCTGTCTGCCTGCGCGTTGCCTGCGTGCCTGCGTTTTGGCCACACCTGCCGGCTTACCCACCCAAGCGCCCCCTGCCTCGGCCGGGGCGGGGCTGCGCGGCCTGCTGGACACGCCTACCCACCTACCAGCCCACCCGCCCGCGGCCGGTCGGTGAAAGTGGACGCCGGTCGGATTGGGTTGCTTGGCTATCACTCTGTCTGAAGCTTCAGCAGCTTCGCATTGATTCAAATCACGCGACGCCTTGTTTTTGTGCACAGCAGTTGGCTCCCGCTCCCTGTCACAAAAAACGAAAAAAAGGACACAGTGTGGGGGCGTGGAAATGTGATCAAAATCAAAACAAAAGCCGCACCACAGAGCAGAAAGGCCCTGCGCTTCGGGCCGTCGCGCAGATCAGTGGTAGCATCTGTTTCTTCATTTTGTTTCATTCGATCCACTTTTCATTTTTCTTGGCGAAATTAGGGGAGGTCTGAGCTTCTGCAGTTCGGGATGCTGGTGCTTGGGGTCCGTCGCACCTATGCTGCCCTTCGCTCAGTGTCGACCGAAATCTTTTGTGGGCTCAAGTACCGTGTAGGAGCCTGGTCCGTCTCCAAGGAAGTTACGGACAACTGCCTGCAGCTGCAACACGTCCTGCGCCCGAAACCTGTGGGCGTGTTTGCATAGTTCGGAAATTCGATCAAATGTCGTCTGTCCAAAACCAACCAACCAACCGACCAACCCACCGGAATTTAGGCCTACAGGCCCACACCTACTCAATCTGGGAGTCTTTTTCGAATCACGTGCTACAACAAGATACGCCGGCTTACCATTAGGATTTGACATCACATAGAGCAATTTCAATCCTCAACTTATTTATGCTCATAGAACTATCCTGTCGTGTGGGGAGCAACTGCTACCAAGTTGACGAAAAAATAATGGTGAGTGAAAGTCTTTTGAATTTGCATTTGCAAAGCAAATATCCATATTTTAACATTTAGTACGGCGCTACTTTTATATACCGAGAGCGCAAAATAATGCGATCCACCAGCCAGCCTCGTCTACAACTTGTGCTGAATAAAGCCAATCTCTTGGTTGTTGTCATTGTAGAAAACTTTAAACCCTCGCTGTTCGAGGAGCTTGAGGACCTTCTGGTGGCGGGCCAACCCCTATCAAAACGAAAAATCCCCCCTCCCCATATTGAAAAGCTATCTTTCCGAAAATTTGCGTTGCTGATTTGAGGTCACAAATCGCACGCGTCTTGCAATAAGACAAGGGCAGAAGCTTTCGCCCCATTATGGAGGCGATTTGTCACGCTGTTGGGCAGCTTAAAGGGGAGCCGTTTGCCATGCTGAACAACTAGACCCATACGCCCCTACCTAGCCTGGGAATCTGGCTGCAGTGCCTTCCTGCAATACAGAGCTGATTTGTTTACTCAAATTTAGCATCAGAAATTTCGTTTTGATATGGGGAGGGGGGATTTTTCCTCCTGATAACCCCTGGGTGCCCAGGTAACGGTGATGAAACTCCACCAGTAGCTGCGTTGCGGGGAAGGGCTTCGTGGCGTAATCGACCAAAGCCCACTGCTTATGGGAGCGTCAGGATCGAAATCAACAAAATCGAAATTATTTGCGACGCATAAAATCGATACCAGTTGGAGCCTCAGTTTCCAACTGGCGCATGACGAATTTCGGGAGCGCCAAAATGCAGTCTGTCATGCTGTTTGGGCAAAGAAGACTGCTCCTGTCATGCTGCTCTGGCAGCGCGTCGCCTCCTCCTAAACAGACTTGCAATCGGTCTCATTTGCCTGCTCCCCAATACAGGCCATACGTGCCCTGCATTTGATGCATTACAGGTTTTTCGATTTTGTCGATTTCGATTCTGACACCCCCATACTGCTCCAGCAGGGCGTATTCCGAGCCTTCAATGTCCAACTTGAGGATGTCCACTTTTTCGTGCCTATCAAATGCAAATATGTCTGGGTCTGGAAAGATGCGAACTTGTGATGCGTGTTGCGGATCATACGAAGATCTGTGTTGCATGACTTGCAAAAGGTCCCCACTTCTGGCCATGCTGAGAAGCATTTCTTATGCAGAATAGGCATCACCAAGGCGCTGTAGAACCTGTGATGCTAGGCACTGCGTTATAGACTTGGTGGATCTTGGAAAAACTGCATGACAAATCGCGGAATCTTCCAGACTCAGACATATTTGCATTTGATAGTGGCCGTTTCTGGCAAGCCAGGTCTGCAGCGTCGCGACCGGCACGGTGCATCAAAAGGAAAAATCCCCCCTCCCCATACTCAAAAGGCACGCTTGCTTCCAAAAATTTGCGACGCTGATTCGTGGCCACAAATCCTATCTCTCTTGCAAGAGGGCAAACTCAGAGACTCCGCCTCGATATGCAGGCGATTTGTAATGCTGCAAGGCCTATAGGGCAGACGTCTGCCATGCTAGTCCCCTAGACCAAGAAGCCCCCCCTTAGGCTTACGATCTACTGCGTGCAGTCCTTTACTGCAAGACAAATGTCATTTGTGTACTCAAATACAGCAACACAAATTTCGTTTTTGATACGAGGAGGGGGGATTTTTCCTTCTGATACGGTGAGGGTCTTCTTCTCCGCGTTCACGTTCCGCGAGTCGTTCGAGGCCTCGGACATGGACACGTGTGCGGGGTTGTATGCATTGCAAAAGTATCGTACAACTCGTATAATTGCATTACAAATTTCCCCAGCATGAGAAAGAAAGCTTGTCATGCGGATTTACATCTAGACAATAACTTGTAATGCATGACTGCGATTGCTACGAGTACGATAGTACTTTTGCACAGGATAGGTTGGCCGGCAGTACAAAGGTGGAGGTGCCATCCTTGCCACTCAACCCCTCCGGCGTGAACTTGAACCTGAGGCGGGATATCAAAAGGAAAAATCCCCCCTGCCATATCAAAACGGAAATCTGTGATGCGGGATTTGTCTACACAAATCACATCTGTCTTGCAGTGAGGCACTGCAGGCAAAGCCTAAGCCTGTGCAGGGGTGTTTTGGCGTAGGTGCTTAGCATAGCAGAAGCCTGCCGTGTAGCCGTAACAGCATTACAAATCGCCTGTATAAGTCGGCGGATTCTTTTGATTTGCCCCCTTGCGAGAGACACAGGATTTGTGGTCACAAATCAGCATCGCAAATTTTTAGGAGCATACCTTTTCAGTATGGAAAGGGGGGATTTTCCCTCACAATACGGGAGCCACCGACTTGCATCTTTCCCGCCTGCTCCTGTTTTTCCACGTGCTGCGCGGCCCTGGGAGTGGGATCAAACCCGAAAACCTGGCACCGGTACTTCTCGAGCATCCCCAAGTCCCACGAGATGTCTTCGCCGAGCCCCACAGAGTAGATTACCGAACTTTCCGAAAGCGCCGAGCCCTCAAACTTCCACCCCCCGTATTGCGTACCTAACCGGAGCACCTGGGCGGGCGCTTCTTCGCTCTGCTGCGAGGAGAACCCTGACCCGGGCGCGGCCCCACCCTCCCCAGTTTATCGTATCTAAAAGCGTCCCCATCCCAGGGTTGTCATGCAAGTCTGCATTCTGACAATGTTTGTCATGCGGAGCCCCATGAGAGGCGTTTTCCAGTCGTGTTTTATAATTTGTCATGCTTCAATCAGCATGGTATCCTAGATCTGTGATGCTGCTCAGATAGCTCTAACAGCACTACAATACGAGTCGAGATTTGTCATGCAAAACAGCCAAAGCTTGTGAATTTGCCTAGCCGAGTCCCCATCTTGACTATGGTGTGGGGACGTTTTTGCATAGGATACAGTTCCGGCTACGTTCTGGGCTGGAAAATCTTGCGCATTCACCGTGGTGGTGTCCCAGTCGAGTTGTTGCAACAGTGGCGGAAAGAGCCATATCAGAAGGAAAAATCCCCCCTCCCCATATTGAAAACGCATCCGTCTGAGAATTTGTAATGCAGATTTGTGACCACAAATCCTGTCTGTCTTGCAAGAAGGCAAGCCCAGACGAGAGTCCGCCGCATTATGCGGGCGGTTTGTGATGCTGTTGGGCTTACAGCATCAACCTCTGTCATGCTAGTCGCCTACGTCGAAACCTGTCGACTCAGGCTTGGCATATGCCGGCAGTCCTCTCCAGCAAGACAGACTTTATTTGTGTACGCAAATCCAGCATCAGAAACTTCGTTTCGATATAGGGATGGCGGATTTTTCTCTTTGATAAGCCAGAACTCCGCCCGGTTCACCAAGGGGTGGTCGCGCCCGAGGCTCTATCAAATGCAAAAATGTCTGGGTCTGGAAGAATGCAGATTTTTGTCATGCTGCTTTTGCATGGCACAAAATGTCTGCCATGGAAGCCCTAGCATCACAGATTTCAAGAAGCTTCCGCTTTGCTTAATCCGCATGACAAATCGCCCATTTTGGTGACAGGAAATGGGCGCCTTTTGCTGCCTATGCGTGAGAGATTCGTCTGTGTTGTGAAATGCGCATCACAAGTTCGCATCCTTCCTAACCCAGACATGTTTGCATTTGATAGGCTCGCCGCGTAGTGCGCTCCTTTCTCCCGCCAATGGGCAGCCATGGTCCTAGCTTTCTCAGAGGTCGTGCTGGTGGCACCAGCACCGGACGACGCGGCGGCGTAGTACAGCGTGAAGAGAGGGGTCTTGCTGTGGTAGCAGAAGTAGACAAAATGATGCGTCTATCCCACGAAAAAACTGTTTCACTGTGATGGTTTTGCAAGATCCCCATATACAAGTTTGCTACACATGACACAGAAAACGTGCCATGCGCGCTTCCCAAAGGAAAAGACGCTTAAAAATCCAATGCGTTGGAGGTGTAGCAAGACGAATAGTTCAGCGTTCCATTTCATGCATCACAAGTTCACAATGAAACAGTTTTTTCTTGCTATAGCGTCCACAGCTGTTTGCGGTTCAGCACCTTCCACCAGGACGTGCTCATCAGCCCGGGAATGGCCAAATCGACCGTGGTCACGTCTACCGCCCTATCGAAAGGAAATAATCCCCCCTCCCCATATCGAAATGGAACTCTGTGGTGCGGGATTTCTGTACACAAATCGGCTTCGTCTTGCAGTGAAAGATCGCAACCAGATACAGAGCCAGGGTAGGGGCGCTTTGGTGTAGGCGCCTAGCAAGGCAGGCGCGTCCTTCGTAGGCCATACAGCATTACAAATTGCCCGCAGAATGCGGCGGAGTTTTTGGATTTGCCTCCTTGCAACACAGCGACGATTTGTGGTCTCAAATCAGCATCACAAATTTTCAGAAGTATCCCTTTCTGGTATGGGGAGGGGTGATTTTTCCTCGCAATACGCTTGGATCCACTGCAGAAACCTCTTCCACACCAGCGGGTGCGGACTGAATCCAATTGAGCCTAGCTGTTTATACAGGAAGGGTTTGCCCGCTCGGTACGCCGCGTTGAGCCCCGAGCGGCCGGCTTTGTATCGTGAGGAAAAATGATCCCCCCTCGTCCCCAAGCTCACAATTGAAATTTGTGATGCTGCTTTGTGACCATAAATCAGCTCTGTCTTGCATATGAGGCAGATGATAGCCGTGTGGCGCATTCCACAGCCAAGCTGTCATGCGCTTCTGCCTACTGCAGAGCTGTCTGTCATGCCTGACGAGTACTAGCCTTTTGCATACCTATAACCAGGCTACCGCTAGTACTCAGGAAAAATTGCCTGCAAGCGCTTGCTGCAATACAGCGCTGATTTGTGTACACAAATCCAGCAACAGAAATTTCCGTCTGAATATGGGGACGAGGGGGCTTTTTTCACTTTGATACTTTGGACATCTTGTTCACGAACAGCTGGCGCTCCATATCGAAAGGAAAGA